CACCAGGTGTTCGCGAAAACCCAGTGATGACACCAGGTGTTGCGAAAACAAGTGATGACACCAGGTGTTCGCGAAAACAAGTGATGACACCAGGTGTTCGCGAAACCAGTGATGACCCCAGGTGTTCGCGAAAAGGGTAAGGATTTCCTGCCCTACCGGTAGCAACCGCCATTCACACAAATTGCATTAAAAGTAAGTATTTATTGCACTTTTAATAGGGATAGTTTTTGTCCTTCCATGATAACCAAGAAAGGATTTTCATACTATGTCAAGTGTACATTTACACATAATGAAATAACTGATGATCCCCATCAAAAGTTGAGTGGTATATAGTAAAATTAATACAATAAATACAAACGTTCATAAATTAAACGTTCAACTATGTCCCAGATGCATACGCACACACGCATGCACACACTCACCAATGCACCTAATATTTACAATATTTTTCATTAAATCAAGCATTGAGTTAATTTGAGTGTAGGGCCAAACTGTATGACCGTCAGTGCTTGTAACAACTTATACATGACACCTTTGTTTAAAAACGATTATTAACGTTTCCTCAATTTACATCGGCAACCCACACAAACTCTTAGACTCGCGAGTCTGTAAGGGTTAACTGTAAAACCGTGGCAATTATCTTGAGTGAGTGAGTGAGTTCGGTTTAACGCCGCTTTTAACATTATTCAAGTTATATCACGGCCTGTTAGCTTAATGTGGGAGGAAAGCCCCAAGTGATGCAGGTCTAAGACGTTTACCACTTCGGTGAAACCCACGAGCACGGGTATGGTGCTGACAAACCTAGAAACAAAATCGGGCGAACCGGGATTCGAAGCCACAATCATAGGTTTCTGGCGTGCCCAAGGGACGCAACTCTGTGCAGCGAATCGCGGTGCCTTAGACGACTGGGCCACCCGTGCCCCCGGCAACTATCTTGAGAATAATATTTAAGACTACCGCCACAACACCCATTGTCCTCATTAGCACCAATGAGTCATGGTAGAATGGCGACAAGCACACTTCTTCAATGTTGAACTGTGCGAAATACAGACATGGCGCTATGTTTAAATCAGTATGGATGTTGTCGAAGCATATGAAAAAATGGGCCAAAAGAGAAGATGAACCTGCTGAATATCTTCCTGAGAGTGTGTGAGTGCGTATTGTTTTACGCCACTTTTGTAGCACTATTCCTTGTAGAATGCACAATCCGAAAGAGTGGAAACAGAATTTGAATAAACCCATTCTCTACCAGCCAGCTGTCATCCGAGGTCGGGCCGCCCGACATAAAATGTTTGCAGTTTTTCTTACATGAATTGGTTGTTTGTTTAAAGAACTTGGTATAAGTGACATAGACAATGGAGACACATATAAGGCCAGTATGTTAATTGTAGACGAAATTGGTCAAAACCATGCATAAATACTATAAACCTTTGTGAAGATCCGGGCTAGAATAGGTCTTCAGCAACCCATGCTTGCCGTAAAAGGCGACTATGCTTGTCTTAAGAAGCAACTGATGGGCTCGGGTGGTCAGGCTAGCTGTCTTGGTTGATGCATGTCATCGTATCCCAATTGCTTGGATCTATGCTCATGATGCCAATCACTGGATTGTCTAGACCAGACTCGATTATTTTCAGACCGCCGTCATATAGCTGGAATATTGCTGAGTGCGACGTTAAACAACAAACAAACAAACAAACTATCAACTTTGGAATCTGAACACATACCTATTCCTTTTTTGCACTGGATTCCAAAGTTCCATAAAAATCCAGCCATTGTACCACCCACCCCTTCTCTCAGAAATTAACCATTCAACCAAGGAAGGAGATTATTAATATTCACAGAAGGTACTTGAGACAAAAAACTAACTGCAAACAACCATCGCGTGAATCGGAATTTCTGCTCCAATTTGCAAAAAAAAAACAATGGTATTTGGCCATCGGTGATCGGACATCGTTCAATAACAACCAAATAGCTAATTCCCTTCCACTGATTTACCCACCTGAACTAGAAATAGAAGAGACCCGTGAAACTGTCCCTAATTGTTTTATATTTAAATATATGCATAAAGATTCAGAATGATAAAACACTCTCCACAAGACTGTATGCCAAGAGGAATGACTTCCACTTTCCAACAGTCAACTTTCCCTTCATGTCGAGCAATATTCCTGCATCTCCAGCATTTGGTGTCTACATTTCAAAACTGTTAGGTTCAACGAGCATGCTCGTTCCATGACGATTGCAGAGAGCGTCATTTTCACGACTCTTGTTCAAAAGTTGTTTGATCAGGATTACAACATTGAAGTCTTCACTAAAGCTTTCAAAGATTTCAGGGCAGACATGTGGGGGACATCAGTGACCAAAATGAATTGTTTTTTTTAATTCCAAAATTGACTTTACCATATCCTTTACGTGTGTTTGTGGCGGCTGCCACCGGTGGGGCAAGATACACTCACCACTTCGCGAACACCTGGTATAATCACAAGTTGATGGTGATCCATAAACACATGCTTATGACGTAGTCGGAATCGTAAGATGTGCTCTGCTTTTAGTAGCAATTACTTAACAAAATGGACCTGTTTTGGGGGCATTTCATTAACATAGCTCTACATTGAACAAACATTATCCTGTAATATAAGAACACTTTGTTGTGGTGACAGGGTTAGCTGAATAATACCCCCCCCCCCCCCCCCCCCCCCCCCCACAAAGGATCAAGGCGTGACTTTTAAAAAGCTTCATTTATCGGGTACACGTTGATATTTAACGCCACAGTTAGCACTACTCGAGCTATATCACGGCGGCTCGCAACTAATCAGGAACAAAGAAACAAGCTTAAGAAAACATGACAAAAAAACACGTCATTGAGGCACAATCACACGCTGTTGAATTATCATATATATATTAAATATTGAATTTCATGTTTATTTATTATATACCGTTACGCATACGCTGTATGGTTATACGACGTAACACGGGTTTTTCTTGTTTCTTTGGTACGTACATTTATGAACTATTTGTATAATTTGCTTTGTCTAAAAGCATCGCTAATTAACATATCCTTTACCAGATAACTGATCCTGTTTCGCCTCGGTCGATGTTACGAGCGTTTAAGTAGAAATGCGTTCCAAATATCTCAGAAAATTCATGCAAAATAAAGGTTCAAAATGGCGGTTACCTTTTCGATACTAATGTAGAAGCATTGGAGACAGAAATTCGCGGAGTAAAGAGTGAGTGAATATGGTTTTACGCCGCTTTTAGCAATATTCCAGCAATATCATGGCGGGGACACCGGAAAATGGGCTTCACACATTGTACCCATGTGGGGAAGTGAACCCGTGTCTTCGGCTTGAGGAGCCGCGCTTCCACTAAACTAACCCACCGCCCAGTGGAGTAAAGTGGTGACTCATTACTGGGGAATGTTAATCACAAGAACAACAACATGCGTTCATGGCCTGATATGTTTTAACCAATCAAAATGATACCCCAGGGCACGTGACAAGCAAGTCAGCTTCTCGTGGTTAAGCGGGGAATGCGGACTTTGCGGTTTTTTGAGATGGAGTCGAGCCTGATGTGAGCCTTGATGTGAGGATCAAACCTTTATGTTGCGTTATTTTTTATATGAGTGTGTCACGAAACATGAATTATATGTAGGAAATAAGGAGCTACGGTCCTCGGACCGGTCGCCCCTGGACTGAGAGAACTTCTCACGGCCGGTTTAGCGCCTTGATTAATAGGTGAGGTGAGGTGAGGTGAGGTGAAATGGAGTTTAACGTTGCGTTCAAGATTATTGCACCGAGAAAGCGACCTGCATTCACGTGTGTGTGTGGCTGTGTGTACTAGTCCAGACCAATGTCGACTTTAATAGCGCTAGCCCACTGAGATACCATGCCGCAGTCTACCATGAATACCCGACTCAAGACACAGTATACTGATTCCGAGCCCTACCATCCTTCTTTTAGACCCTTAAGAGGCTCTCACACTTTGCCGAGTTGCGTCCCGAGTATGGACCCGAGCTGACTCGGGGGTACTCGTATGGAGCTCGTAGCGAGGTCGTACTGAACTCGGGGTAACTCGGGATACCTCGCACTGATCTACGAGAGTTTTGGAACTGCTCAAAATAATCGGACCGCCAGCCAATCCCAACAAAAATCCTAACAAACTCGTAACACACTCGTCCTACTCGTAGCACCCTCGTGGCGACCTCGTGATGCTTGTACAGAACTCGTATGAGGATCGTCTGCAAAATGTATTGCCGAGTTGACCGAGTCTAATACAAGCTATACGAGTGTGCCACCTCGTACCAAAGTCGTACAGCTCGTATGGAGATCGTTGTGCTCGTATGCAACTCTTAATTGACTCCTTTTAGACTTCTATTGGAGTCCTATGGGGCTCGTAACACGCTCTTAGCGTACTCGTATGATACTCGTATATATGTAGTCTCCTCCCGAGTCCTAACCGAGTTAGGCTCGGGAGAGCTCGGCAGCCACCTCGGCAAAGTGTGAGAGCTGCAGTAATGCCGAACGTCAGTCAGGATGACAAGAAGTACCATCTTTAAACGTCTTTTGGTATGACCCGGCTGGGGATCGAACCAACGACCTTAGACCTACCACGGCGACACGGAACGGCAATACGTCGCTAGTGAAGGGGCCTACGGAAACCCAAAGCAAGTTAAAGGTTTCACGCCAAACACATGATTCACGATATAGCCGCCCCTTGTTTTTGTTTTTCATTTAGTATATTTGTTTACACAAGTGTCTTGTAAAGCATATTTTTAAGCCACTTATATATTTATATTGCCAACTATTGACACCTGCAGCTGAACCTTCCTGGACGTATCTACAGTAGACTCTGTGTAATCCGACATCTGTCTAATCCGTATTTCTTTCGCACCAAAACTTATTCCACTATATTTACTTATGTTACAACTACAGTGTCCATACAGAGGGTCACTGGTCTTGGTTCTATCACGTGGCCCGCAATTGATACATCACCAAAACATTTTCTTTCCTTTTCAGTCTTTTTATTACATCATGATTCTATGTTGTTACAACCATGTACAATACCACGAGGCCAGGCGTATCAGGGGATATTGTTTCCATGTAATAAGTGAATGAGTGAGTATGGTTTTACGCCATTTTTAGCAATATTCCAGCAATATCACGGCGGGGAACACCAGAAATAGGCTTCACACATTGTACCCATGTCGGTAAAAGTAAATATTGACACCAAGAACAGTTTTTAGTTTGGATGCAATGGGTGACGATGTACGTCAGTAATTTGCAGCGTAATACAAATATATTCGAATATATTTAAATGAGCCATTCCAAGTTACTTACATCTGTATATAATAAATAAAGCTAACAACAACAAATACTTCATAACTTCATAATCATCGTTTCCATCACTGACACCATACAAGCCAATATTATAATAATATCGTATGTTTTGTTATGGATATTAACCTAAAGACATAAAAACATAAAACGTCAACGGCTGAGAATACCCAGCCTCGATTATCTGTCGACACAGATCAGTGAAAATCACCACTTGGTGATATAGGTCTTCAGCAACCCATGTGTACCGTAAAAAGCGACTGTGCTTGTCGTAAGAGGCGATTAACGGGATCGGGTGGTCGGGCTCGCTGATACGGTTGACGCACATCATAGTATCCCTAATGCGTGGATCTATGTTCATGATGCCAATCACTGGATCGTCTTGTCCAGACTAGACTATTAAAAACCGCAGTCATATAGCTGGAGTGCGGCGTTCAACAACAAACAAACAGTAAGAATCAGTAGTGACACCGTTTCACGAGTGGCGAGTGCATGTTTAATAGATAATGATAGTTTCAAAAAGAGTTATTCATTTAAAGAAATAATTAATTACCCATGTATTTATATAATTATGTAAATTAGTTATTGGCATTTTGAAGATGACTTCTGTTCAGGCATTTACAACTTCCGTTGACCTTGACCCATTCAATTTGATATCTGTCTTCATCGTAGTGAACGTGGTCTTCACCAGACATAGCCGCCATGTCGTCGTCGTCTCCATCTACGGTTACTGCCGTCACGTATTCCATGTTTTGGGAGCACACACCATATCCGAAGTTGACAACGTAACTGAAACAGTAAGAAATCCACCAAATATAGAGGGGTTTCCAAAGTTGAAAGAGTGAGTGAGTGAGTGAGTGAGTTGGGTTTAACGCCGCTTTTAACAGTATTCCAGTTATATCACGGCGGGTCAGCTTAATGTGGGAGGAAAGCCCGAAGTGATGCAGGTCTAAGACGTTTACCACTTCGGTGAAACCCACGAGCACGGGTATGGTGCTGACAAACCTATAAACATAATTGGGACGAACCGGGATTCGAACCTACAATCATAGGTTTCTGGCGTGCCCAAGGGACGCAACTCTGCACAGCGAATCGCGGCGCCTTAGACGACTGGACCACCCGTACCCCCTCAAATTTGTAAGAACTTGACGTGATTAATATGTTTAAACTAAACATAAAATGAATGTAAACATCATACAAGGTTGAACCTTCACATATATTGCCTGTCTTATATGTGGACATATTTTTGAAAGTGTATCGAGCTTGACCTAAACTAAGGAGCAAAAGAAACTACACCTCACAGTTGATTTCATCATGTTTGAGTTTCGATTGAAAATATCTTAAGAGCGATATTATATCCACAAAATGAACTGTACTGGCGCCTTGTCGGCACTCAAGGAATACTTCAACATAGTTATATTATTTATGAAACTTTTAAATATTAAAAAATACACAACTCTTAGACATCTTATCTTTGTAAATCAATAAATGTGGGTTTTTTCGGCACAACTGTAAATATTTCAAACATAGTTGGGGTCAATTGGTTGCAAATTCATTCTTTCCCCAGTCTTCATTGTACCAATTATGTTTTTACACAAAGTTACCCAGTCACGGATTACAATCACTTTTAACAACAGTTGTTTTTTTCAATTTTCAATTACATAAAAAACAAACACCGTATACGCGCTTTTGTCCTTCAGTTCATAAACATATGAACGTATATTTTAAACATACATGTCACTGGAAATATTTGGAAATAATGAATGATAGTTGTTCGAAATTCGAAAGGTTTTAAAATGAAACAGATCTGCGACGATATAAACAAAAATACCTCTGGGTTAATTTTAACAGTCATGTTTTAATTTACTGAGAAACAAAAATTGTTTCCAGTCCAGTTGACCGTATTTACCATGTTTAAACGGGATGGACACTCCGTGAGAGACTGGGGTCGTTCAAATTTTCATTTACTTACAAATGCTCCGAAGATATACCGCGCACTATGTCTCTCTAGGCGTAATAAATAAAGCAGACATATATGGAGAGAGTGATAGTTATACGTGTTAAGGTGCAACTGTCCCAGACAAACAAATATAAATACATGTATCGCCCGGCCCGAGAAGATCCGAGGTAGAATATGTCTTCAGCAACCCATGCTTGTCCTAAAAGGCGACTATGCTTGTCGTAAAAGGCGACTAACGGGATCGGGTCGCTGACTTGGTTGATGCATGTCATCGTATCTCAATTGCGTAGATCGATGCGCATGATATCAATCATTAGATTGTCTGGTCCTGGCCCGGGGACCGCCGTCATATAGCTGGAATATTGCTGAGTGCGGCGTTAAACAACGAACAAACAAACAAACAAAAGCAAATGTGTCGCAAAGGACAATGAAGATTTTAAAATCTTTTAAGAGATCTTCACGGGTCGTGACATATTTGAATCATAAACATGAACATGGTGACTCTTATGGTAAACACATGCAATGATTCCAGGAAGGGATTTTCCCAAGCCAACGTAGGATTTGGTAAATTTGTTGGAAGAAAAAGGAAAGTTCATACAATGTCCTATACTGAATAGAGACGATAGACAGGCCCCAGTTCCCCAAAGTGGCGTTAGATTTTGCGAACGCCTGGTGTCATCCCTGACGTTTTATAGTTACCCCTGTTGCTAAACTATGTTAAAGTATGGGATTTACGATCGTCTTAGCACTAAGGACACTTTGTGAAAACGGGACCATTGACTGTGACGTCGCCGAGTGACTGAACGGTGAAGTTTAAGCGCTCTTCTTCACAAACCTGCACTGCTCCGTCTTGAAGTACTGTTTCCGATTCTTAAACTGGGCTATCCTCTTCACATGACCGTATACATTAGTCATGTTGTCTTCGGCACGGTAGAATATCTGTCTGTAACATCACGTCAAGGATATTTGCAACAAAATCTTTGAAAGGTTATATTAACACTATCCTCAAGCTGTTTCACATACAAAATGTTTATATTGTTGGTATGGCACAGTTGCCGGTAAATATTCTTTAAATAAATGTCTGGCAGCAAGTTATTAAGAGCACAAGCAGCAAAATTATAAGTTTTTATTCCCGATACAAAACAAACAGGCCTTTAGACCAGATTTGAACTTGTTCCTGATGCAAAATAACTTTTCTCCAAAACTATTACACTCAATTAGTTTATTTCTGCAGTTATCAAATCTTTGTAGTTCTAGTTTTACTGCCGTACATCTTTCTTTAAACAAACAAACAAACATCATTATAGAGAATTAATGGACGTCAACTTATTTATTATGAGGAACCGGTCACTATAATATTTTTGTTTGTTTGTTGTTTAACGCTGCATTCGGCAATATTCCAGCTATATGACGGCGGTCTGTAAATAGTCGTCTCTGGACCAGACAATCCAGTGATTAACATCATGAGAATCGATCCACGCATTTGGGATACTATGACATGCATCAACCAGGGCGGTCGGGTAGCCTAGTGGTTAAAGCGTTCGCTCGTCACGCCGAAGACCCGGGTTCGATTCCCGACATGGGTACAATGTGTGAAGCCCATTTCTGGTGTCCCCCGCCGTGATATTGCTGGAATATTGCTAAAAGCGGCGTAAAACCATACTCACTCACTCACTGCATCAACCAAGTCAGCGAGCCTGACAACCCGATCCCGTTAGTAGCCTATTACGGCAAGCATAGTCGCCTGTTACGACAAGCATGGGTTGCTGAAGGCCTATTCTACCCCGGATCTTCACGGGTCGGTCAGTATAATAAAGAAGTTGGCATCCATTAATTCTCTTCTTTATATGTATCATTTCTAAATGCCTTTCAAAAACTTGAAGCATCTTAATGAACTTAATTAGTACGTATCTAAACACACATCCAGATGACACCCAAATGCTATAGCGGAAATACTGTGAAAAGCGGCATCAAACCACACTCCGCAAGGCACACACACTCGCAATGGGTTAAAAGTTGACTTACGTTTGACAGCATGCATGATGCCAGATAAAGCGTGAGCTTTGTTTTCCAAACCTTGGTGGATCGCCTTCTAAACAGTTCAGGTTACAGGTTTTAGACTCCCGGACATAACTGTATACAGGTTTATACTGGTTTGTGTAATTGACGAGCTGCAGCATCTGTTCCCTCGTCAGAAACATATTTGGATATCGCTCCAGGATCCGCTGTTCTGTGCTCTTCTTGAACCTGTAAACACGGTACCCGTCAGTATAAAATATGGTCCCACATAATGAAGATCGCCGTGGCTAGCCTATTGAAGGCCCGTGAAGATCCGGGGTAGAATAGGACTTAGCTACCCACGCTTGCCATAAAAGGCCACTATGCTTGTCGTGAAAAGCGACTAACGGGATCGGGTGGTCAGGCTCGCTGACTTGGTTGGTGTTTGTCATCGTATCACAATTACGTGGATCGATGTTCATAATGTCAATCACTGGATTGCCAGGTCTAGACTTGATTATCTATCAACCGCCGTCACATAGCTCGAATATTGCTGAGTGCGACGTTAAACAACAAACAAATCCTTATTGAAGACAGGGTTGACTATCACTGCGGCGTTCGGTGGAGATGCTGGTTCCTTCATTGAGTAAGTCGCTTCAAGATTGCTGATTCTCGGCGTAAGCAAAAATCACTCGGTTTTAAAGTAACTTTTGTCTTTTTTGTTCGTTGTTTAACACCGCACTCAGCAATATTCCCGCGATATGACGGAGGTTTGTAAATAATTCATATCATGAGTGAGTGAGTTTGATTTTACGCCGCTTTTAGCAATATTCCAGCAATATCACGGGGGGGGCACCAGAAATGGGCTTCACACATTGTACCCATGTCGGGAATCGAACCCGGATCTTCGTTGTGACGAGCGAACGCTTTAACCACTAGGCTACCCGACCGCCCTCATATCATGAATAACGATCTACGCAATTGGGACACGGTGACATGCATCAACCAAGTCAGTGAGTGTGACCATCCGATCTCGTTAGTCGCCTCATTTTGATTCTGTTGACGAACTTAGCTGAGTGTCTTTTGTAATGCTGTGACGATTTGCCTGAGATCGTGTCATTCTTTAAAAGAGTTAGCCTAGTGTGAGCTGTACGAGCTCGTATCTGCGCCTCCCTAAGTCCCTGCGATGCTCACCTCTTAGATAACTGAGACCTGAGGATTCCGGGTAGGAATAATGGTCCGTATCAACATGTGCTTGTGGTAAAAGGCGACGACATGGATCGGGTGGTCAGGCTCGCTGACTTTGTTGAATGCCTAGTCGTTCCTAATGTCACCTGGAGTACTCAGGGAATATTCCCGCGTGCTTCACACGGGGGTTGCATTGTGTAGTATCAGCAAAGGAGTACTAACTTACCAAAACTCCTTCCATATGTGGATTTCTATTGACGAGAGTTCTAACTTACCAAATCTCCTTCCACATGAGGATTTCTATTGACGAGAGTACTAACTTACCAAAACTCCTTCCATATGAGGATTTCTATTGACGAGAGTACTAACTTACCAAAACTCCTTCCATATGAGGATTTCTATTGACGAGAGTACTAACTTACCAAATCTCCTTCCATATGTGGATTTCTATTGACGAGAGTACTAACTTACCAAAACTCCTTCCATATGAGGATTTCTATTGACGAGAGTACTAACTTACCAAAACTCCTTCCATATGAGGATTTCTATTGACGAGAGTACTAACTTACCAAATCTCCTTCCATATGAGGATTTCTATTGACGAGAGTACTAACTTACCAAATCTCCTTCCATATGTGGATTTCTATTGACGAGAGTACTAATTTACCAAATCTCCTTCCATGTAAGGATTTCTATTGACGAGAGTTCTAACTTACCAAAACTCTTTCAACAGAATGTAGCCTGCCAATGAGAGAGTCGCTAGGAAGAAAAAGACAGCAACGACAACCTGAAAGAGACATCGTTGATGGGTTATATAGGAAACTACACAAGGAACTTATGATTGACAAATATTAAAGATTGTTTATTAGTTTATTTTTTCATTGTTTAACATCGCACTTAGCAATATTCCAGCTAAATGACGGATGTCTGTAAATAATCGAGTCTGGACTGTACAACCCAGTGGTTGACATCATGAGCATCGACCCACGCAATAGGGAAACGATGACATGCATCATCCAAGTCAGCGATCCCACCCGATTAGTCGTCTCTTACGACAAACATAGTCGCCTTTTACGACAAATAAATAGTAAAGACGATCACGACACACAGCGCCAAAATCGAGAAGAGCAAGACGATGAAGCGCACGTAATATATCCGTTTCATATATTGACGATAACGTGTATAATATTGACGTGTGAGATGAATACAGATCCTTTAACGGCACATTTGGGTGTTATATTACGTTTCGTCTGATTAAAGACGAGATTGAATATATTTGTAAATCGTTGATTCTAAATAATTCAATGCGGCATGATCTATACATGACATTTATTGTGTATAACTGAATGATTATAACATATCGCGCAACTTTTTTTGTGGGGAGACAAAAGCTATTTGTCGTCGGTGGGAGTCGATTATCATTTTTTGTTCAGAGGTCTTGAAACGACCTGGGTAAACTGTTTTGATTTGCATGGTGTTCTTCACGTTACATTGTAGTGGAGCTTTGATTGTCATCTTCACGGGCCCAGATTACAAACTCTTACAAGCCCTGAGGGGTAAAAGAAAGCGTACCGAGGTTTAATTTATTGTGACTGAAGATTGAAAGAACTGATGACTGTGTCTATAACAGTTTGCAAAAAGTAATCTGTGACTGGGTAATTTTGTGTAAAAAGACATTGGTCTAATGAAGACTGGGGTAAGAAATGAAAATGCAACCACATGACACCTAACATGATGGAAATTAATGTTTTACCTTTGTGCCGAAAAAAGCAAATATATTGATTATTACGATAAGATGTCTAAAAAAACATCAGCAGTTGTGTATAATGCGAAAATGTTTGGGTTTATTTCATATCTTAATCACATCTGCTTGTTTAACGTGGTAAGGAGATATGAGTTGTCTCCCTTTAGCTTTAGTGCTCGTAACTCCCATACTTTTAACATTAGCTTACGAAAGTCTAGGATCGCTTTGTGCAAGTGGGCCCTGGTGTAAACTTAAATGTCATCACTGCAGTTCTGTCAGATATCGCTATGTCTATAGATACATTGATTGCGTCCGTCCCTGTTGCACAGATTAAACTGAGATTCATCTGTGAACAAAACGCATTCCCATCTCCGATTATCCTACGCAACATGCTCTCAGACCACATCATGCTTCCTGTGATGATGCTTCAGAGACGTGCATGAATGCCACCCGCTCTTAGAGGACGTGTAACAGTTGTCGTGGACACCAGTCTGTTAGTGGCAGTATGGAGCGAATCCTCCTGAGCTCTGGCAGTGGTGTGTCGGTTGCTCAAAGCGGTTACAAGAAGGTACTGGTCGTCTCTTCTGGTTGTTGCCTTGGTCTTCCGGATCGGGGTCTATCCTGCACAGAGTTTGCTGAAACCTTGACCATAGATTTCCTACAGCTTCTGTGATACACCACGTCTTCTTGCAACATAACGTCGTGGTCGGCAATCTTGAATCAGTGCTATGGCTTGTTGTCGTTGATCATTTGTCATCGAGCGTCCGCGACCCATCATGCTTCAACTGCGCTTACCATCCACCTGTTTCCAATTTTATAGGCAATCATTGCTAAAAATTGAACTGGTATCTGGTTGTGCCCATGCACTGAGTGTCAACCTCTTTTTTTCGTTCTCGAATGTGGAGACAAAATAGTTTGAAAATCGTGCAGCTAAACCGTTGATAATGGCCCATTGGGTCATGATCCAGGTAGCAAGTCCATAAACGTTCTATGTTCTAATCTAATTCTTCAAGTCACATATCGCACACCATTGTAACCCCAAGTAGTATTACCGGTAAGTGCTCATATTATTTTTAATAACGCAGTTTGACTTACATTACATCCTAACATATATAATCACGAATTCCTTAACGCCGGTTTACTTTTCTTGGCTCGATCGTGTCGCCACGTCGCGTGGAACACGAGTTGTGCCCCTTGTAATGAAAGCGCGATATCCAATCAGATCGCTGTTCTTAGCTCGTATGGCTTCACAAAGATGGCGACTGCCATAGACGACGACATGGTCAATGAAATAACGAAAACATCCTGACAGACAAATAAAGGCAATCGTTTGGAATTTTAACAGATGGAAAAGAAATGTTCGTGTCAACAAACACATCGGCGGTAAATCACTTTCATACGATTGTGTTACAGTCGTGTTTATTGACTCCTCTCATCATCGTACCGCTTGCAAGCACAGTACCAGGGCGAATTTGATTGAAAACTTGGAAAGACTTAAAAAATATTTGTCTTCGCTTAATTGTTGGAAGAACTTCCGATGGATTGAATAAATGAGATTGAGTTGTGTATATCCTGCAAAGAACATAAATTATTTGACATTTTATGGCAGTTAATTGGAGTTAAAAGAGCACAAGAGAAACAGAACATGTATATTCTGCAAAAGCAATATGTGACGCATCAAACACAAGCTGGATATGCACCAACTCTGCCTTTTCACACGCTACTCTACGCTTTACATAGTGGGAGACCATAAAGACCAAGACTTTGTTTGATCAAATATTCTGGCGGCTGTTTATGTAAGTTTGTGCCTACTTTAAACTTATATTGTGTATTGGAATATTGCTATCTAATATATGTATATGTTTGTATTTCATAATGATATCGTCATCATACTTGCATTGTACTGTATATTAAACAATAGGTCTGTCGCATGCTCATTTCCTCAAAATAACAAAAAATAACTACTTTTACTCTGGTCAAGGCTTGAAAACGCTTGGTTACAGCCATTGAAAGGAAAGAGCAACCTACCCATACTCTCGACGTTGGGCGTTTTCCTGGCATAGCTGCAATAAAATACACATTACATATAAATACAGAGTTGAATGTTTAGTTTGTAATCAGTACTCGAATATTGCAATCATCAGTGCCCGTGTGTTTCCCTTACAACCAATCACCAAATATCAATACTCGGATATTTGCCGAGACAATCCTTGCTCGGTGAATCAGGTAATTCCAAGATTATCAATTATCGACACATCGATTATCTGTTTAACGATTGATCATTGATCATTCGGGTACTATAGATATGTCTGTACTGGTGTATATCACATACAATCAAGGCAGGATATATTGGTACTGGGTTCACATACATTCAATGACAGATATGGCGGTACTCGGGTATTGCACATACACTCAATTACATATATATCGATACTGGGGGATTTTACATACAATCATAACATACATATCGATACTGGGGTATTTAACATACAATCAAATACATACATATCGATACTGGGGTATTTTACATACAATCAAATACATATATATCGATATAGTCTGGGGTGTTTCAGATACAATCAATTAATTATATATCTCTCTCTATATATATCTATCTATATAGATATATAGATATATAGATATAGATATAGATATATATAGATAGATAGATACTCGGGTATTTCAGATACAATCAATTACATATATATATATATATATATATATATATATATATATATATATATATATATATATATCGATACTGTGGTATTTCAAATACAATCAATAACACATATATCGGTACTGGGTTATTTCACATACAATCAAGTACATATATATCGATAATCGGATGTTCCACATTTATGCACCGATGACTTTGTCGCATTTCGCATACAGTCAATCACAGATACATCAGTGCGTCAGTACGTCAATGACAGGTACGGTTATAATGGCATATTAATGTTACCATTGACTATTTCTTTAAAAATCATATTTGCTTATTGATAGATAAAACATATTTATATCCCATGGTTAATTAAGTTAATATCTATACGTCAGAACAAATCTGGCCAAATTGGTTAATCTTGTATCCGTCCATTTTTCTTACATAACAACTGTTTTCATGTGGGCGTTTGAACTCGTTTCTCCAGCTATAAAGTGATCTCATGACTTGTTGCTCTCCATCAATAATTATCACAATGTACACACCCACCCCCCACCCTTAATAATAAATACCCGACCACTAAATCCCTCACATTGACCCTACCTGATGTGTACTCCCTGTTTCTCTGTAGCGGTTTGTGGAACGGTCAAAAACAACGTAGTATCTAACACATCCTTCACCAGTAGAACAGTGTCCGGGCAACTTGAATCATTCCTGGTAGTTTCTGACAGTGCATCCCAATAAGCAGGGGAGGTAACTGTTGAAGGGTAACTCCATGTTTTGATGATTCTGAAAAGCGTCTTTTGTCAATAGAAGCCTTTTATATTTTACTGAACATATTTGAACTATGTTCAGCATTACTATCAACTAACCCAACAACCAATGAATGAATGACACATGACGTATAATCAAACTAAGCAGACAATCCGCTTGAGGTGCAGTATATGGGTGTGTATTGCCGTCGTTGAAATGATGGCCACGGTTTCCCCAAATTCTGAAGGCGTTTATTGTGAACATTTTGTTTTTATGACGCTTCTCGAAGGCCGTGTTATCTCGGCTAAAAAGTGAACGCAATGTTTAGAGAGTTGTGTTTATGTCACCTATCAATTAGGATGTTTAGGAAACTGATAAATTATTAAGAAAATACTTGGGTTGGGTGTAGGTAATGTTTTATATTACCCATAGACTTTCTACTAAGATAACGTAGAAAAATGTGGGTTTTTTCCGATCTTTGAAAAAGACGTCAAGTCACGTGATGAAGTGTTACATGACACCCACTCACTCACACATGACCATGGGTAAACGATATATATATATATATATATATATATATATATATATATATATATATATATATATACACACACAAAATGAGGCAATTGTTCACTCGGTGTACATGTAATATATAATAAAATAATAAAGTCCACGTTAGTCCATCATCTTCTTTATATCAGTTTGAGACTGATATAAAGAAATATATATATATAGACACATTTATTAAGGAAGAGAATATATTTATGTCAACGTATTTATTAGAGGAACACAACGTTTCGGAGTATATGCTTTCTCTTTCATCAGGTGAATGGATGCACCTGATGAAGGAGTAAGCATTTACTGCGAAACGTTGTGTTCCTCATGATAAGGAAGTTGACATCCATTACTTCTCTTCCTTATGTGTACCACTTCTAAATGTCATTCAAAGGCTATATATATATTGTTCACATTGTAATAGGGATATGCCCATAATTCCATAGGACAAAACCCATAAAAAGTTGTTATTTGTGATCTTTTAACGTGACATCTACTCAAATAACAGTAGTCGGGGGTACGGCGGTCTTAACGTTTAAAAAATATATTGCTGGGTGAAACACAGCAGGTCAACTCAGTAAACGGACATACTGCGCCCTGGCTATGGACGCGGGTGTTGGGCATTGATGAATTCTTTCCCGCGCACACTCAAGCCACATAGTAGCATGTTATTTACACAGGACACAAAGGATGATGAGTAAGTAAAGAGGGCTAGAAGATAGGCGCTGATGAGAGACGTTCACGCGAGGTTGTTACATGTACTTCAGTCTAAAGAGTACGGGACTGAATTACAAAAAGCATTGCCGGGTCTTCAACATATCACCAGGTTTTTTTGTCATTTGATCCAGAGCATTTTCTGACATAAGGTTATGTGAGTGAGTATTATTTTAAGCCGCTTTTTTGCAATATCCGAGCAATAGAACGGCGGGCGGATCAGAAATGGAACCATGTTGGGAGTCGAACTCGGGCCTTCGGCGTGACGAGCGAACACTTTAACCAGTAGATTACTCCACCGCCTCTCCTGAAAGACACTCAAGTTTGTTTCAAGGGTACGAAAATTATATTGGAGACCACAATAATTTGAATGTACGATGATGGCATAGAACTATGGATTGTTTGCGGCAATTCGTTTTGGCATACAACTTGGATGAATTCGTGAGTTGCTTTTAACTTAAGTAGACGCTTAATGGGACAGGACGTTTAAGTGGTCAAACCAACGAGCACAACTCCTGGTATGGCTAAGGGGCGCAACCCTGCAATAGTTGATGGAAACATTTGGTGATCTTAGTCATACCAGGACTCACATTTGTGAAATAAATAGAATTTGGAAATAAACAAATGTAAGCAAAAAGATCTTCTCAGGAACTATTCATGTTTATCATGAAAATAAAATGACACTCCGTGTTTTCTATTGCCCACAGAGTGTAATTTATAATTAAAAAGGAATAAAACATAACAAATGTTATATTTGGGACAATATATCACTTTCTTAGTCAAGTACAAATTCTAGTACTGTTTGATGAAATAGGTGGTGAGTTGAGGTGAAATGGGGTTTAACTTCGCGTCCAAGATTATTGCACTTATATAGCGACGTGCATGCACGTGTGTGTGTGTGCTTGTGGTAATCCGTACTAATGCCGATTTTATAGTGCTAGTCCACCGAGATACCATACCGCAGTTTAACATGAATACCCGACTCAGACACAGTACACTTACTCCGAGCCGATCAGTCCTTATTTGAGACCGAGCGCCAGACAGGGTAACAATAAGTACCATCCTTTAACGTCTTTTTGGTATGACGCGCCCGGGGATCGAACTCCGGACATTCCGCTCTCCGGGCGCACGCTCTACCAGTAGACCACAGTGGCGGTCTTGATAAAATAGGACCACAGTGGGTAATAATATAGGTGTGTCGCAGCAGTGGCTTACAAGAGCACGTATATATGAATGTGAACCTGTAATATGATCAGGTGGAATGAGTGAGTGAACAATATCTAGGCTTGACCAGACCAAACCGATGATGAACCAGTACACGTCGAAATGCGATTCCACTTCAGATCATCATTCAAGTCGACTCTAACGGAGACTATTGGGAAAGGGGTCAGCGTAATTTAAGATCATCTGTAACCATGGTCTACCATATTTGTGAAATGTGTGTCATTCATGTCACAATGCTCTGCAGCTCACAATACACATCTGATGTCAGTTGTGTTATAAGCTTAAGTGAGTGAGTGAGTTGGGTTTAACGCCGCTTTTAACAGTATTGCAGTTATATCACGGCGTGTCAGCTTAATGTGGGAGGAAAGCCCGATGTGATGCAGGTCTAAGACGTTTACCACTTCGGTGAAAAAGCACGGGCATGATGCTGACAAACCTAGAAACATAATCGGGGCGAACCGGGATTCGAACCCACATAGGTTTCTGGCGTGCCCAAGGGACGCAACTCTGCACAGCGAATCGCGGCGCCTTAGACGACTGGGCCACCCGTGCCCACTATTAGCTTAAGGTGGAGCCTTCTTTAGACCTTTTTGCCCCTGTAATCACTGGTGCATAACTGTGTTTTCATAACACTGTAGACGAAACGAACTGTAGTCGAAAAGGGACTCCCCCTAGTTTTACTCCGTATTTACTCATGTCATATAGATTCAAGTAACATAAAGAAATTACCGAGCAACGGTAAAATGACATTTTGCAGTACGGCTGTCTTCTGGTCATGCTTTAAAATAGATACGACCTTTGCTGACATCTTAGGTGTTTCCAGTGGGATGTCCAAAATATTGCCTGATGAAATGCACTTTATTAAACACGTTTACATTTGTTTAAATTCTAAACATGTAAAATGTGTAAAATTCTAAACACGTTTGGATTATGGGGATATTGTGTTTGGGTGATGTTTAGGCTGAGGCGACCCTAAACGTGTTTAGATAGAAAACACCAAAAAATGCATACCGTTCAGGACTGAAACACTTTCCTTACCATGTCTTGTATGTGTTTACATTCTTAACACATTATACTAAATTAAATAGTGATATTGACTAATCTTCAGCATCTTCGTGCAATCTTCCAGGCAGGAAAGTAATTTCGTATTTACTAACCTTCTGGCCGCTGTGACAAGTAAATAGAATTCACTGGTATTTTTTCTAAGTGCATGTCATTCCCCATGCCACAATTACTGCAAATGATACATATAGTAAGCGATGAGTCATGGTCATGCGAATACATGTATGACTTTGTGTCAAGTTTAAAATTGGAATCCATTGACCACTTAGATGAGACACATCCAATTGCTGGTACCATGTGTGCGTGCGTGCGTGCGTGCGTGAGTGAGTGAGTGGGTGAGTGGGTGGGTGGGTGGGTGGGTGGGTGGGTGGGTGTTTGGTGGGTGAGTGAGTGAGTGAGTGAGTGAGTGAGTGGGTGGGTGGGTGGGTGGGTGAGTGAGTGAGTGAGTGAGTGCGGTGTGTGTGTGTGTGGGGGGGGGGGGGGGGGGGGGGGGGGGGTAGGGGAGGTTGTAATATTACTGCGGGGCTTCAAGGGTTACTGAATTCTGTCAATTACAGATCTTAACTTCCATAGTGTCCATGGCCTACGTCATACATGTACTCATATAGCAGAGATCACATACACATGGAAGAATTTGTACATAAATGAAATGCGTCCATTGTAGCTGATATAAAAATGTCTGGAAATGTTTTACATTTATCTATCTTGTTTGTTTCAAATATAATTTGTTACATTTACTTTACTGTTTTTCTGTCTATGCTTTTTATGAATTTATTTTCGTCACTACCATGGTTAAGCTATTGCATCGTTTAGGTTTTACTCACTAACTTCCGTCTTTATTTACGAATTACAGCGCAATCGCTACATGGTTAAGAGCCCAGTCTTATAATGCTCCGAACAGCGCAGGTGTAGCGGTGGGCAGTCGTTGAGCCTTGACTGTCACATGATCTGAAAATGGCCACCGCCTACGAATGGTAAGTAATTTCTTTGAAATATTTTAATTTCTCGAGTGTTATTTGTGATTGATATTCAGAAGCCTGGGTTCACACGGGTGTTTTACATTCGCAGATGTATACGATAATTATAGATATCAACTGCGTGCAGTTTGTACATAATAAAACGGCATTGTTTGTATAAAATCTTCACATCTGCAATATTTGAGGCCTAGTGCTAGTCCTTTGAGTGGCAATGTCGTTATTCGGCTGGGAGGCAAGAGGCGTGTAATTGGCAACAAACAAAGAATAGGATAGATATGTTAATGTTTAGATTTAACTCTGTTGGTTTTGATACTTCAGACATTTGTATTGCTTTAACATGTTTGTATTACTGTCAGAATAATAGTTGTTTCAACATATCTCTACACCCAGAAAGTTTTAGACTCCAACATTTGAGTGGTGTAAAAGTGAATCATACTGTCAGTGAGTTGTTCTTGTCAATGTCAACTCCAGCTTAGCTCGTGATTACAGAGTCCTGTTGATAAGAACAAGTTTTGGACATTCTGCGATTATTATTATTATTATTATTATTATTATTATTATTATTATATACCGCAGGTATCCAGGTACTAGTATCTGCTCAAATGAGCACTTATTATGAGCATTTCTGTGGTCCCGTTGATTCTATTCCTGTCCACATCATACCAAGATGCAAACAGATAGTTATAAGCCTGGCTGGCACTCGGGATAAAACAAGTACTGGTCATCTTAGAGTCAGTATAATGTGTCTGAGTGGGGTATCCATTTAAACTGCAGCATGGATCTCAGCACTATAGAACTGGCATTAGCATGATTAGTCGGCTAGTCCAAGCAGCCACGAACACATGTACATGCACGTCACTATATAAGTACAATAATCTTTGAACGCAATGTTAAACCCAGTTTAAACTATTATGATCAGGAGTTACACCTGCAGACAGTAATGGTGACAATTTGAGATATAATCACTTTTGCTGTAGTATCGAGATAATTGTCAGTTATTGCTATAGTATTGCGATAGTATAAAAACATCTTTAAGATTTGATAATTATTTTTGTCAATGCAATAGAAAAGAATAAAGTATTGCCATCAATGTCAAATTTGGCCATGTACCTCCCTGTACTACAGGAACCAAAGGGAAGTAACTCTAATCTAAAGTTGTCATAATCCTTTCCTTGTGTTTTCTGACACATAATCTATGTTGTATTTTATCTAACTGTGTTTTTAAATTCCTATCTATATACCGTATTCGACATAATAAGCGCCCAGGGCGCTCTCAAAATTAGAAATGGGGGGCTCTTATTAGAATATTATTTTGGTGAAAAACAACAGAGTTGAAAGATCTTACATTTCGTGGTTTATGCTGACAGCCAGAAATGTTTATATACGACAGATATATTTTTCCAGAATTTAATTTGAACCCATAATTAAGGGTGTATATAACATACATATTATAAGAATAAATATGTCTTGTGTACATTGATCAATCAGAAGGGGTGCTAATTGGGATTGTTCACTAGCCAATATATTTGTAAATATCGCCATGGGCGCTTATTAGAGCGGGGCGCTTATTACGTCGAATACGGTAGTTCAATCATAGGGCAAGCAATTTCAATACATCAATAGTTTGATAATCACTACACTTCAAATAGACAGTATTCATTCTCTGGTTGATAAGTCAGGAATCACATGAAGGGGCCCTAAAAGCTGCCAGGGTCGTCCTTGTAAGCTCATGATAGCCTGCTTTACATGTTTTGCTCCAACAAGTAACAGACACATCATAAAATGGCTGAAATACTATACAAATCAAATTTAAAGCTGTTTTAATCAGTCTACAGCAAAATGTGCATTGGCTTAAGAGACTAATGAATTCTGTGTACCAGGAAGTGACTACAGACAATTTTTTCCATGCAGGCATCCTCGAATACGAGACTATGTGGCAGAACGCCAGGAAGAACAGAGTCCCCGAGAGGAGGCGGGGTCGCATCCCCTCAAGGCAGTCACTGTAAGTATTCAGATGGGCCTGGTCAGTGCGAAGCAGTAGACACTACAATTTAAGGCCTTTGCTCAGTAGGCATGAAGACCCAGTAGGCAGGAAGATTCAGGGCCTTCTGTCAGTAGGCAGTACGAAGCAGTAGGCAGAAAGATTCATGGCCTTCTGTCAGTAGGCAGTACAAAGCAGTCGGCAATACAATTTAAGGCCTTAGCCCAGTAGGCAGTAGGATGTAGTCGGAAGAAAGATTCATGGCCTTCTGTCAGTAGGCGGTACAAAGCAGTCGGCAATACAATTTAAGGCCTTAGCCCAGTAGGCAGTAGGATGTAGTCGGAAGAAAGATTCATGGCCTTCTGTCAGTATTCAAATTCTGTTAGTTAATATAATATCTACCAGGATTGCTTCTGAAATCTTAATTAGTCAGTAAATGGTGGAATACCTCAATGTTTATTATTTATTCTGCTTTTCATTTTTTTTCATGGAAATCATGTTTTACCAAACAGCTTGGACTAATGTTTGAATGAAAAAGCAGAATACTTACTTAATCAACACAATGGCCAGTGAATGTTATTAGCTACTGGTCTGCATGGTGTGTGTCGTTTTACGCTTAGTCAGCAATATTCTCGTTGTCACAATAACTCTGGGCCAGACAAACATCAGACCAACATCCCTTGCTGTCAGGGTGACCTCGCTGACCATCCAATTACATCACAGTTCACAGTCAACCTATGAGATTCAAAATACTTCTACAGAGTCATAACATTAATTATAACTATATAACATGGATTTTGAAATTTGTAATTCCAATTTGGGAATTTAGACTGAATTTAGTCTGTGCTTCAGACTTGGGGCCTATGTCTGCCTCTGAGCAGGTCCAGATAGATCCCGAAGCGTACAATGATACAGGAATAAGAAGTATTCGGAAGTTCTGATTCATCTATTGGTATCATTGTCCCACCTAGGTTACCCAAGTGTCGAAGGCTGAGAAGAGAGGAGCATCAGGCAGCAAGTCAAAGAGCAATGCCACCTCCGAGTTTGTTGACCCCCTGAGTTCGGGACCTCTGGGGGCGGCCTTCGATGGCACTGACCCCCTCTCACAGCTGGCGGCCACTGTGGATGTTAAGCCATTTAGGAGTCGCAGCTTCCAGGTGAGATGGGAGACACGGGGATATGTGAATATTTGGGAATTGAGTGTCACATTCTGATGGGTTCTTGGGTCGGGCGGGTACTGAGTAGGACCCGGGTACCCACAGGACGTGGTTAGTCACGTGGTTAGTCACGGGATATATTGTTTAATGACAAAAAAATATCTAGATCTCCATGGTTACACTACAAGTTAGGGCTGGGACGAGTCCAAATTTACTACCCGGGTACCCACCACCCTATTACCCGACCCTACCCGGGTACCCGCTGTAGATATTTAGAGATAGGTACAAACTGTCCGATTTGGAAAAGTTTAACCGTAGCCCCGCAAAATGCGTGTAAAAGTTTACTGCATGAAGTTTTATCTTTATTCAAACATATAAAAGTCAGAAGGAAATGGTGCATTGTCAGAAAGAAATGGGAACATTGATGACTTGTAGTGTAACCATAGAGCTTTAGATATTTTTTGTCATTAAACAATATATCACTTGACTAACCACAGGTCCGGGTAGTCCTATGGGTACCTGTGTCCTACTCAGGACCCACCCGACCCGAGTACCCGAGTTACCCGTCCCAGCCCTACTACAAGTCACTGATGTTACATTTCTTTCTGCCTAAGCACCATAACTTCTGACACTCATGTATTTGAATAAAGATAAAGCTTTAGTCAACTTCCGTGTAGGCATGACCAGATCGTTTTATACATGTATCTAAATACATTTTACCAGGGCTACAGTCCAACTATTCCCAATCAGACATTTTACACCCAACTCTTGAGACCTGTATTGAGTACCCAGGTAGGGTCGGGTAATAGCGGGTGGGTACCCAGGTAGTAAATTTGGACTCATCCAAGCCCTAGTTGTTACTGACCTAATATGAGACCATATACCGTCATTTTTAGTGCATTATATATTCCATTGTTAACGTTTGTGTTTACATTGAAGCATGGTATCGGAAACATATGTACTGGACCTGTCATTATACTGGTTGTAAGTGTATGTTTTCATTTTGACAGGACATGTGCGATAAAGTTATTAGATAGTGTAAACTATCGGCATAAGAAATTCGTTATGGTGTCTTTAGTTGCCATATACAGTGTCATATTAGGTTAGCAGAAAAGTATTTGGCTTGGCATTATAACTAATAGTCTTCCGCTAACCATGTGGTTTGTTGTCGTTGTTTGATGTACCAGTGCCTTCCAGCGTGACGGCTCTCGCTCCCTCAGCTTTTTGTGAACAAAAAGAAAGATATTGCATTGAAAATGAACCTTAGTACTGACAATGACAATAAATATTATGTGTTTTCAGGCTTTCCTCTCACAATAGCCAAGCAAACTTTGTTCAAAACACTTACTCACCCTCTCCTTACAAAGGATCACAGTACCTATCTTGTCCCAAAATAATGTTGAAATTTATAAAGTTTTATTAATTTCAATGCACCTTTTTTGGGTGACCCCCCCCCCCCCCCCCCCCCCCCTCTCCCAATAATTGACCAGTACCTAATCTTATCAGCTATATAAATTCTCCTTCACGTCCGTATGTTTGACAAGAAAGGGCCACAGTCAAGACACAAGTGTTCAAGGGAATAGGAGAGTGAAGTAGACACCGAGTAGATCAGTCCTCCGTTAGTTACTGGATTATATTTGGTCCCAAGCAACCTGTGCTGGTCCTAAGAGGCAACTAATAGAATGGTCAGGCTTGGTGACTTCGTTGATTGTGTTTCATTGTACCTCAAAAGCGTGAATCTTTGCTCACAATATCAGTCACTTGTATGTGTGTCCCAGACTCCCAGGCCGCCTTCACACAGCTGGATTATTGCTAAATGCAGTGTTAAACAAGACATCAAGATCGTAATGTATAGATCAGTGTACTCCAGTGAAAGATGATTTCAGGAGAAGGAGGAAGCTCAGGAGTTGGACGAGACATTTGAACCATGGGCAGCAAAAAAGGGGAGCATTCTGGCCAAGTTCACAACGTCAGAAAAACTGTCCATAACAACCAGCTTTCTCTCTGCTTCTGACAAAGAAAGAGGTAAGATTAGCTGTTTTTAGGCTTTAACAAATTGTATTTAGGTTTAAACATGTTGAAAAAAGGAAGAGTTTCTCGTGCATCACTTTAAATCCTTCACTTCAATCATTTTCATCACCAATAAAAATGTAAATGTTAGTTTCCCATGAGATATGAAGAAAAGTCTGTTGTCTGTGCTTGACACCGCCTCCGTGGTCTAGTGGTAGAGCGTCTGCCTGGAGAGCGGAAGGTCCAGGGTTCGATCCCCGGCTGCGTCATACCAAAAGACGTTAAAAGATGGCACTTGTTGTTACCCTGTCTGGCACTCGGCATTAAGGGGCTAAAACAAGGACTGGTCGGCTCGGAGTCAGTATACTGTGTCTGAGTGGGGTATTCATGTTAAACTGCGGTATCTCAGTGAGCTAGCATCAGTCTGGACTAGTACAAGTAGCCACACAAACACACACGTACATGCATGTCGCTATAGAAGTGCAATAATCTTGGATGCGACGTTAAACCCCATTTCACCTCACCTCACCTGTGCTTGACAGCTGACATTGTATCACAGAGCCGAGTTCAATCTGTACCCAGTCGTTTATGGTCAGTGACAACAAAATATAAAGTGTTCATCCGTCATCTTGCTTGTCCTTCTTCCCTCCTAACTTTTGAAAAAATGGTGGCAGAGAAACATTTAATGTTTTATCCAGTCTTGTACCTCCTACACACCTAGGCATACAGAATATCTGTGTATTCAGTCTTCAGGCTAGTCTGTTATACAAGAATGGGTGCATATGCATTGATAGTGTTTAGCGGTGATGAAGGCCCAGACTGTGTATATGATATATGATATATATGTGTTTAGTGGTGACTATGTGTATGATATATGATATATATGTGTGTTTAGTGGTGATAACAGCCCAAACTGTGTGTATGATATATGATATATGATATATATGTGTGTAGAGTGATGAAGGCCCAGACTGTGTATGATATATGATATATGATATATGATATATATGTGTGTTTAGTGGTGATGAAGGCCCAGACTGTGTGTTATATATGATATATATCTGTGTTTAGTTGTGATGAAGGCCTAGACTGTGTGTGATATAAATATATGATATATATGTGTTTAGTGGTGATGAAGGCCCAGACTACCACTGTCAGTGACAAGGTGAAGAACAGACTGGAACAGCTGGATGACTTTGAGGAGGTAAGCCTGTCATCTGTGCATAGGGGGGACTCTGCCCCGAGCAGAGGGTGTAAGGGTATGGACAGAGCTGATTGGTGTAAGTGTATGGACAGAGCAGATTGGTGTAAGTGTCTGGACAGAGCTGATTGGTGTAAGGGTATGGACAGAGCAGATTGGTGTAAGGGTATGGACAGAGCTGATTTGTGTAAGGGGAGAGCTGATTGGTGTAAGGGTATGGGCAGAGATGATTTGTGTAAGGGTATGGACAGAGCTGATTGGTGTAAGTGTATGGTCAGAGCTGATTGGTGTAAGTGTATGGTCAGAGCTGATTTGTGTAAGGGTAGAGCGGATTTGTGTAAGGGTATGGACAGAGCTGATGAGTGTAAGGGTATGGACAGAGCTGATTGGTGTAAGTGTATGGACAGAGATGATTGGTGTAAGGGTATGGACAGAACTGATTTGTGTAAGGGTAGAGCGGATTTGTGTAAGGGTATGGACAGAGCTGATGAGTGTAAGGGTATGGACAGAGCTGATTGGTGTAAGTGTATGGACAGAGATGATTGGTGTAAGGGTATGGACAGAGCTGATTTGTGTAAGGGTAGAGCGGATTTGTGTAAGGGTATGGACAGAGCTGATGAGTGTAAGGGTATGGACAGAGCTGATTGGTGTAAGTGTATGGACAGAGCTGATTGGTGTAAGGGTATGGACAGAGCTGATTGGTGTAAGGGTATGGACAGAGCTGATTGGTGTAAGTGTATGGACAGAGCTGATTGGTGTAAGGGTATGGACAGAGCTGATTTGTGTAAGTTTATGGACAGAGCTGATTGGTGTAAGGGTATGGACAGAGCTGATTGGTGTAAGGGTATGGACAGAGCTGATTGGTGTAAGGGTATGGACAGAGCTGATTGGTGTAAGGGTTGGACAGAGCTGATTGGTGTAAGGGTATGGACAGAGCTGATTGGTGTAAGGGTATGGACAAAGCTGATTGGTGTAAGGGTTGGACAGAGCTGATTTGTGTAAGTGTATGGACAGAGCTGATTGGTGTAAGTGTATGGACAGAGCTGATTGGTGTAAGTGTATGGACAGAGCTGATTGGTGTAAGTGTATGGACAGAGATGATTGGTGTAAGGGTTGGACAGAGCTGATAGGTGTAAGGGTAGGATAGAGCTGATTTGTGTTAGTGTATGGACAGAGCTGATTGGTGTAAGGGTATGGACAGAGCTGATTGGTGTAAGTGTATGGACAGAGCTGATTGGTGTAAGGGTTGGACAGAGCTTATTGGTGTAAGGGTATCGACAGAGCTGATTTGTGTAAGGGTATGGACAGAGCTGATTGGTGTAAGGGTTGGACAGAGCTGATTGGTGTAAGGGTATGGACAGAACTGATTTGTGTAAGGGTAGAGCGGATTTGTGTAAGGGTATGGACAGAGCTGATGAGTGTAAGGGTATGGACAGAGCTGATTGGTGTAAGTGTATGGACAGAGATGATTGGTGTAAGGGTATGGACAGAGCTGATTTGTGTAAGGGTAGAGCGGATTTGTGTAAGGGTATGGACAGAGCTGATGAGTGTAAGGGTATGGACAGAGCTGATTGGTGTAAGTGTATGGACAGAGCTGATTGGTGTAAGGGTATGGACAGAGCTGATTGGTGTAAGGGTATGGACAGAGCTGATTGGTGTAAGTGTATGGACAGAGCTGATTGGTGTAAGGGTTGGACAGAGCTGATTTGTGTAAGTTTATGGACAGAGCTGATTGGTGTAAGGGTATGGACAGAGCTGATTGGTGTAAGGGTATGGACAGAGCTGATTGGTGTAAGGGTATGGACAGAGCTGATTGGTGTAAGGGTTGGACAGAGCTGATTGGTGTAAGGGTATGGACAGAGCTGATTGGTGTAAGGGTATGGACAAAGCTGATTGGTGTAAGGGTTGGACAGAGCTGATTTGTGTAAGTGTATGGACAGAGCTGATTGGTGTAAGTGTATGGACAGAGCTGATTGGTGTAAGTGTATGGACAGAGCTGATTGGTGTAAGTGTATGGACAGAGATGATTGGTGTAAGGGTTGGACAGAGCTGATAGGTGTAAGGGTAGGATAGAGCTGATTTGTGTTAGTGTATGGACAGAGCTGATTGGTGTAAGGGTATGGACAGAGCTGATTGGTGTAAGTGTATGGACAGAGCTGATTGGTGTAAGGGTTGGACAGAGCTTATTGGTGTAAGGGTATCGACAGAGCTGATTTGTGTAAGGGTATGGACAGAGCTGATTGGTGTAAGGGTTGGACAGAGCTGATTGGTGTAAGGTTATGGACAGAGCTGATTTGTGTAAGTGTATGGACAGAGCTGATTGGTGTAAGGGTATGGACAGAGCTGATTGGTGTAAGGGTTGGACAGAGCTGATTGGTGTAAGGGTATGGACAGATGTGATTGGTATAATTGTGTGAACCCTTTGTGAAGCAAAACTCAGTACTCATCATGCTATATTTATTCTTTGTTTGTTTTTAAATGGGTGTTGTGTTCTGAGAGGATAAATGTAGTAACAGAAGCTCTATCAGGTTCATAAGAAAATATCTAATATCTGAGATAAGAGGGAAAATTTGGATTCTGTTTTCTTGAAAAGTCAGGTTTTGGTTTCTCTAGACATGAGATTGTGATTTAGCCCAGTACAGCTTCTTGCTGACTGCTTGACAGGGCTCGGTGCAGGAGATGCTCAACCTGAGTCAGCAAGATTATGTGAAGAGAATTGATGAGCTGAACCAGGCTCTCATCAACGCCTGGGACCAGGACCAGAGGGTCAAGGCACTGAAGATAGCTATACAGGTAGGTTGTCAGAGAGTCAAGGCACTGAAGATAGCCATACACGTAGGTTGTCAGAGAGTCAAGGCACTGAAGATAGCCATACACGTAGGTTGTCAGAGAGTCAAGGCACTGATGATAGCCATACAGGTAGGTTGTCAGAGAGTCAAGACACTGAAGATAGCCATACACGTAGGTTGTCAGAGGGTCAAGGCACTGAAGACAGCCATACAGGTAGGTTGTCAGAGGGTCAAGGCACTGAAGATAGCCATACACGTAGGTTGTCAGAGAGTCAAGACACTGAAGATAGCCATACACGTAGGTCGTCAGAGGGTCAAGGCACTGAAGACAGCCATACAGGTAGGTTGTCAGAGGGTCAAGGCACTGAAGATAGCTATACAGGTAGGTTGTCAGAGAGTCAAGGCACTGAAGATAGCCATACAGGTAGGTTGTCAGAGAGTCAAGGCACTGAAGATAGCCATACAGGTAAGTTGTCAGAGAGTCAAGGCACTGAAGATTGCCATACAGGTAGGTTGTCAGAGAGTCAAGGCATTGAAGATAGCCATACAGGTAGGTTGTCAGAGAGTCAAGGCATTGAAGATAGCCATACAGGTAGGTTGTCAGAGGGTCAAGGCACTGAAGATAGCCATACAGGTAGGTTGTCAGAGGGTCAAGGCACTGAAGATAGCCATACAGGTAGGTTGTCAGAGAGTCAAGGCACTGAAGATAGCCATACAGGTAGGTTGTCAGAGAGTCAAGGCACTGAAGATAGCCATACAGGTAGGTTGTCAGAGAGTCAAGGTACTGAAGATAGCCATACAGGTAGGTTGTCAGAGAGTCAAGGCACTGAAGATAGCCATACAGGTAGGTTGTCAGAGAGTCAAGGCACTGAAGATAGCCATACAGGTAGGTCGTCAGAGAGTCAAGGCACTGAAGATAGCCATACAGGTAGGTTGTCAGAGAGTCAAGGCACTGAAGATAGCCATACACGTAGGTTGTCAGAGGGTCAAGGCACTGAAGATAGCCATACAGGTAGGTTGTCAGAGAGTCAAGGCACTGAAGATAGCCATACAGGTAGGTTGTCAGAGAGTCAAGGCACTGAAGATAGCCATACAGGTAGGTTGTCAGAGAGTCAAGGCACTGAAGATAGCCATACGGGTATGTTGTCAGAGGGTCAAGGCACTGAAGATAGCCATACAGGTACGTTGTCAGAGGGTCAAGGCACTGAAGACAGCCATACAGGTATGTTGTCAGAGAGTCAAGGCACTGAAGATAGCCATACAGGTAGGTTGTCAGAGAGTCAAGGCACTGAAGATAGCCATACAGGTAGGTTGTCAGAGAGTCAAGGCACTGAAGATAGCCATACAGGTAAGTTGTCAGAGAGTCAAGGCACTGAAGATAGCCATACAGGTATGTTGTCAGAGAGTCAAGGCACTGAAGATAGCCATACAGGTAGGTTGTCAGAGGGTCAAGACACTGAAGATAGCCATACAGGTAGGTCGTCAGAGAGTCAAGGCACAATATAGCCATACAGGTAGGTTGTCAGAGAGTCAAGACACTGAAGATAGCCAGACAGGTAGGTCGTCAGAGAGTCAAGGCACTGAAGATAGCCATACAGGTAGGTTGTCAGAGAGTCAAGGCACTGAAGATAGCCATACAGGTAGGTTGTCAGAGAGTCAAGACACTGAAGATAGCCAGACAGGTAGGTCGTCAGAGAGTCAAGGCACTGAAGATAGCCATACAGGTAGGTTGTCAGAGATTTAAGGCACTGAAGATAGCCATACAGGTAGGTTGTCAGAGAGTCAAGGCACTGAAGATAGCCGTACGTGCATGATAGATTAACTATGGTAGTATGAAAGAATTGGGCATTGTTCTTTTGAGAAATATCATGTAATCATCTAACTTTCCCAGAGAACACACGCAGGTCACTGCAACAAACAACGCACGTCTTTATTCCATTCCTGTACAAATCCAACTGTCCTAAAGGTCTTTATCACCCATGAGAGCAAACATATCGGGGTTCATAAAAATCATATGTGCCAAAGGGTCATATCACGTCACGAGACAACAATGTATTGTTTCCGTCATCCAGATGTCATTGTTGACATCATTCGAATCTTATTGTGACGTGAGGTCGGAATGACGTCACACTAGAAACGACGTCATTGCTTAAGATTGTTGACGTCATTCGACAAATTGTGGTTCCGCTGCTGTTGCGACTTATAGGTAAACAGTAAAATTTGTTCCTATAGACATCTTCTTCGGTAATGAATAGAACATTATATTCATGATCATGTCATACTATGTTTACCACACTCATGCCTGAATTCCAGTATTTAGACATTGGTGTTGTAAACAAAGTATGAGGTTAACACTCTTATAATAACCTCTATAACTGCCCTCCCTGTCCTTCTACTCCTGAACCTGCTTACCTAGCAACCCCTTCATCCGCCTTATTCATTCTACCTTCTTTCAGAGTTATCCCCCTTACACTGCCTGTACCAAGCTCCTCACAGCGACAGTCCATTCGCCACCAGTCAAAACTCCCCACTGTGATAAGTGGCCCCAACCGTACTTGGAGTTGAACTCGCAACCGAATGACCGTTATGTTTACAAACAAGTGACGACTGTCGTGATGCCGAATACACTTACCGCCGATAAATTACTTTCTTTGTTTGTCAATTTGAATTTCTATTTCATCAAAACTATCATCTTTAATTGATATAGTAAGAATGTAAGGGAGAAGTTGGTTGATTTTCCGTTAGTCTGCAATCTCGAACCAATCTGATTATTAAAACAACAAAGTAAATTCACCTGGAAAACATGGTCAGTCGTAAACCTTTTCAAAACAAAATATGATGGCATTCCCAAAGACATAAACAAAAGTATAAACGTTACATTTGGGGTTAGAGGGCAAATTTCAAGATTCTTGTAATGGCCGCGCACACACTGGTGGCAGCGATGTTACCGAGAGTGTAACGAAGGTGTCACGCCCTGGGAAGGAGCTTGTGCCTGTACATGGATGGGAACTCAAGTTACCTCCCCTTATACTACAATATTATAGGCTGCTGAAAAAATCAGTACATTACCGTAGCTGAAAGATGCTGACAACACCATTCCTACACACTCTCCCTACAATGCAAGGGGCTTTATGTTTACCAGTCATCATGAACAGGCATGGGAATTACCACTGGGCAGGTTGAGAATTGTGTTTGATGTATCAAGAGTGTTGTCCACTAATACTGATATGTTTTCTTGTTGCAGTGCTCCAAGCTGTTGGCTGATGTGTCTGTGATACCATTCTACCCCAGCAAGTTTGTCCTCATAACAGACATCCTAGATACATTTGGTGAGCTTATCAATATTTCAAGTGATGTGACATAAAATGATAATTTTGTCCAAATCAACATACCTCCCGTCTGGTGATACCACCCAATACACCCCACTAGTGACATGTGGGAATATATATTTTGACCATATTTTCTAGTGGCCTTTATGTTATCCCATGACAGAGTTATCTCCCTTCATATTCCACAAAAAGTCCCTGTTTCATTTGACGCTGTCTAGTGTACCCTGCCGTGATGTTGCTGGAATATTGCTAAAAGCGGGGTAAAACCATATCACTCACTCACTCATTTACCGCCTCCGTGGTCTAGTGGTAGAGCGTCCGCCCGGAGAACGGAAGGTCCGGGGTTCGATCCCTGGCCGCGTCATACCAAAAGACGTTAAAAGATGGTACTTGTTGTTACCCTGTCTGGCGCTCTGCATTAAGGGGCTAAAACAAGGACTGGTCGGCTCGGAGTCAGTATACTGTGTCTGAGTGGGGTATTCATGTTAAACTGCGGCATGGTATCTCAGTGAGCTAGCACTATAAATCAGCATCAGTCCGGACTAGTACAAGCAGCCACACACACACACGTACATGCACATCCCTATATAAGTGCAATAATCTTGGACGCGACGTTAAACTCCATTTCACCTCACCTCACCTCACCTCACCTCACCTCACCACCACTCACTCATCTGACGTTGCCCGACATGGGTACAATGTGTGAAGCCCATTTCTGGTGTCCCCCGCCGTGATATTGCTGGAATATTGCTAAAAGCGGCGTAAAACCATACTCACTCACTCACTCATCTGACATTGGAGGTTTGTTTGTATCCTTGCATTCGTTACATTCTATGTTGTGTATGTATAGAAATTCTATGAGATTGTGATGTAATGGAGTGACAAAGGGACAGTTAGTTTGGGGCAACGGTTGAGATGGGTATGACGTGTTACGGAGGGCTGAACCAATTGTGTCTCTGTGTGTTTGCTATTGTCAGTTGTGTCCGTTGATTTCACCGCAGACATATATACGTTGAATAAATGTACAGATTGTTTCATCCTGTGTTCCCGGTGTAATTCCTACACATCTACCTCTAGGTACCGTCTCACCTGTGTTGTATGTTTTCAGGGCGCCTGGTGTATGACCGACTGAGGGAGAAGGCCCAGTATTACCCCCCAGGGAGTGGAGTGCCTGTCAAGCTACCGGGTAGGTAGCCTATAGTGCACACCTATCCCTACCTGAAACACTACCTTGTTTACCTCCCTACCTATTCACTTCCCCTATCTACACCAATCCAAATCACTAACCCCATAAACCTCCCAACCCTAATCACTAATCCTATCAACCCTCCTACCCTAATCATTAATCCTATCTACCCTACCCTAATCACTAATCTTGTCTACCTCCCCACCCTGATCTCTTATCCTACCTAAGTTATTTATCCTATCTACCTCCCCACCCTAATCACTTTTCCTATCTAAATCCCTACCCTAATCACTAATCTTATCAACCTCCCTACCCTAATCACTTATCATATCTACCTCCCTACCCTTATCACTAATCTTATCAACCTCCCTACCATAATCACGAATCCTATCTACCCCACCCCTACCCCCACCCTAATCACTAATCTTGTCTACCTCCCCACTCTGATCACTTATCTTATGTACCCCACCCCACTCCACCCCACCCCACCCTTATAACTAATCATATCTACCTCCCCAACCTAATCACTTATCCTATCTACCTCCCTACCCTTATCACTAATCTTATCAACCTCCCTACCCTAATCACTTATCATATCTACCTCCCTACCCTTATCACTAATCTTATCAACCTCCCTACCATAATCACGAATCCTATCTACCCCACCCCTACCCCCACCCTAATCACTAATCTTGTCTACCTCCCCACTCTGATCACTTATCTTATGTACCCCACCCCACTCCACCCCACCCCACCCTTATAACTAATCATATCTACCTCCCCAACCTAATCACTTATCCTATCTACCTCCCTACCCTTATCACTAATCTTAACCTCCCTACCATAATCACTAATCATATCAACCTCCCTACCCTAATCACTTATCCTATCTACCTCCCTACCCTAATCACTAATCTTAACCTCCCTACCATAATAACTAATCATATCTACCTCCCTACCCTAATCACTTATCCTATCTACCTCCCTACCCTAATCACTTATCCTATCTACCTCCCTACCCTAATCACTAATCTTAACCTCCCTACCATAATCACTTATCATATCTACCTCCCTACCCTAATCACTTATCCTATCTACCTCCCTACCCTAATCACTATCTTAACCTCCCTACCATAATCACTAATCATATCTACCTCCCTACCCTAATCACTTATCCTATCTACCTCCCTTCCCTAATCACTAATCTTAACCTCCCTACCCTAATCACTAATCTTATCAACCTCCCTACCCTAGTCACTTATCCTATCTACCTCCCTACCCTAATCACTAATCTTAACCTCCCTACCCTAATCACTAATCATATCTACCTCCCTACCCTTATCACTAATCCTATCTACCTCCCTACCCTCACTACCTCTCTACCTCCCTACCCAAATCACTTCCTGTATCTGCCGGAGGCAGGGCATAGCCAAACACTACCTCCCAACAGTAGACACTGCCCTCTACTATCTACCACCTAAAACATTATCCTACCTTCCTTCTTCCCAAATCAAGAAGGGCGGTTGGGTGGCCTGTGATTAAAGCATTCGCTCGTCACACTGAAGACCTGGGTTCAATTCCCCACACAGGCAAACTGTGTGAAGCCCAGTTTGGGTATGCCCTGACGCGATATTGCTTAAAATCTTGCTAGAAGCAGTGTAAAACTATTCCCACTCACTTCAAAACATCAACCCCAACAACCTGTCAACCTAAAGCACTATACCCATATACCTCCCTACCCAGAGCTTTACCCACACCTCCTGTACTGACCTACACTACCCCAGTTGTGAGTGTATATATCCACCTCTTATTTTTGCAGAAAAGTTCACCCCTGAGCAGGTGCCGGAGTCAGCCAAAGAGACATGCCGGAACTGGTTCTTCAAGATCGCTTCCATCCGAGAGTTGATACCCCGGTTCTATGTAGAGACCGCTATACTCAAGTGTTACAGCTTCCTCAACCCTGGGTAGGTCTCCTCACTGTAGACAGAATGGGGGTGGGCTGGCCTAGTTCTACAAGATCGCTTCCATCCGAGAGTTGATACCCCGGTTCTATGTAGAGACCGCTATACTCAAGTGTTACAGCTTCCACAACCCTGGGTAGGTCTCCTCACTGTAGACAGAGGGGGGGTGGGCTGGCCTAGTTCTACAAGATCGCTTCCATCCGAGAGTTGATACCCCGGTTCTATGTAGAGACCGCTATACTCAAGTGTTACAGCTTCCTCAACCCTGGGTAGGTCTCCTCACTGTAGAAAGAAGGGGGGTGGGCTGGCCTAGTTCTTAAGGCCACAATTTCTTAATTTTATGTTTCACGATTTTATTCCAGCTTTTCCACACAAGGTCGGTCAAAATGAAAATATATATAAATAGCTGTGTCAATATATATTTATATGGAAGTCTTCTGCTGTAGAGTTAAAACTGCAGCTGGCTTCTTGAATCACTGATAGTGATGTAGACATGGAATTTACAATAACATTTTATATTGTATAAGAGGGTCTATATTACTAGCGGGAGACATAATAAAAATATATTTATTTATGTTCATTTCATTTCTTTTCCAGCTCCTTTTCAGTAGGGAAGGTGGGCCCGTGAAACAAAAAATAATAAATGTGTGGCCTAAAGCAATGATATGCTGGGCAGGGTTTGAAATAATTCAGCAGGCTAAAGGTTAACATAAGTACAAGACATGAGGCCTATTTCTGATGTCCCTTCTCTGTGATATTGCTGAAATATTGCTAAAATATTGCTTACAGTGGCATTAACCCTAATTAGATATGTAAATTGACATTAAAAGATGGTACTTACCCTGTCTGGCGCTTGGCATGAAGGGGCTAAAACAAGGACTGGTCAGCTCGGGAGTCAGTATGCTGTGTCTGAGTGGGGTATTCATGTTAAACTGCGGCATGGTATCTCAGTGGGCTAGCACTATAAATCGGCATCAGTCCGGACTAGTACAAGGAGCCACACACAAACAAGTTCATGCAAGTCGCCAACTAAGTGCAATAGTCTTGGATGCGACGTTAACCCCATTTCACCTCACCAAAATGATTTCAACTTTGTTATACTTTTAATGCAGTGTTTCGGTACAGATGCTCATGCCTTCATCACTAAGGGTAACCTAGTGGTTAAAGCATTCTCTCGTCATGCCCAAGGTTGGGTTCAATTCCCCACATGGGTACAATGTGAAGCCCTTTTCCGGTGTTCCCCGCCCTGATATTGCTGGAATATTGCTAAAAGTGAAGTAAAACCATCCTCACACACTCATCACTTGCTTACACGGACACCTGTAATGAAATTTTAAAAATGCCAAAGCTGAAATCAATTAGTGAACCCTGTCAGCACCTTCAGAAAAGATTCCAGACCCCTCAATCTGAACTACACATGTGTGAAGCCCATTTCTGGAGTCTCCGCCGTGATATTGCTGGAATATTGCTAAAAGCGGCGTAAAACCATCCTCACTCACTCACTGAACTACACAAGTCTAACAGACATTTGATTTTGTCCCAGAGAATACTCTGATGCTCTGCTTCGTCTGGCAAGTATGACGAGAGGAATCGGTGATCCGCTGGTTGCTAGCTACTCCAGATGCTACCTGTCTCGGGTAAGTCGGATAAGCACTTCTCAGAGGATAAGACTGACACCTACAGAACAGTCAAATGTCATTGTTACTTACATACCCTGGCCATTGTTACTTACATACCCTGGCCATTGTTACTTACATATCCTGGCCAATGCATTATGGTGAAGCGCCTGTATTATAAATGTCAGGAGACAAAACACAGCTCTATGTGTACAATTGTAACCTGAATGTTTATTCAAGCATGAGTTGAATTAGAAAAATATGATTCTGATGAAAATAATGTGAATCTTACAACTTGTAAACATAACAGAACATATGCCAGAAGTTGAGATTTCATGGTAAAACTACAGATGTAGGATCCTAGTAGTAGGGTTTTTCTCCATTTTTGAAGAAAAATAAAAGTCTTTAAATATCACGCCTCGAACACACGACCCAAGCAATGAAATATTACAATACTTAAGAACAGCATGATTTCACTGATATTAGCTTGAACAACGACAACAACAAAACATAGCCCACCCGCCCTAAATATAATTTCAAAAGCCATTGCATGAGAACCAATTCTTTTTATTTTTTAAGCCTAATCACCTGAGTGTATGACTACAAGTATGTAGTCATTAGGAATCGAAGCAATCAGTGTTGGAGATTCATACAGTCTCATTAAACTCAGACATTCATTACCACTACTGCTAAACAAAGATGTGAGGACATCCCATTACAGGTCAAGTCAGAACGACCTTTCATCCAACAAATCAGAGCATTGCTCACCAGATTGAGACAGTGACTGTCAGAGTGTGTTTTCTGATCATGTAAGGGGGCACGGGTGGCCCAGTGGTCTAAGGCGCCACGATTCGCAGAGTTAGGTCCCTTGGGCATGTCAGGAACCTATGATTGTGGGGTCGAAATCCGTGTTCGCCCTGATTATGTTTCTAGGTTTGTCAGCACCATACCCGTGCTTGTGGGTTTCAGCGAAGTGGTAAACGTCTGAGACCTGCATCACTTCGGGCTTTCCTCCCACATTAAGCTGACACGCCACAATATAACTGGAATACTGTTAAGGCGGCGTTAACCCCTACTCACTCACTCACTCTGATCATGTAACCTCAAAAAGGTTAACACAGGTTATTCTGAATGACAGTTATGGGCTGTATGACTGATTCCATCAAAACCATCATCTGTCTCTCACTTTCATGACATAAACATTTGAAACAGAAGAGACTTTCCATAGCCCTTAAGAAGTACTGACATACAATCTCGACAATCTCTTAGACATCCCAGTCTTTTGTTCAGTTTTCAAATATTGTCAAAATATTTTTCAAAGCATACTCTCAAATGGAAGTTGCCAGTTTGAAACTAGTGCCGTAATGCTCGGGAAAGCTGCTTAATGTTGACTTCTTGTTAGTCATTTCGTTGGTCGGTCAAAATTTGCAAAAGGTAGTTATGATGTGACCAGGTGGTCCTTAGATAGATGCTTGGCAGTAGTGAGAACTAAGATATCAGATTAATGAGATGGAGATATGTATGACACAAATGACTTCACCTCAGCCCCCATGCTGGACAAGAGATGTCCCATTAAATCAAATCATGCTTGCTCTTACTATCTCCAAGTATTTGTTAATGGACTCGGGGGCAGTCGGGTAGCCTAGTAGTTAAAGCGTTCGCTCGTCACGCCGAAGACCCGTGTTCGATTCCCGACATGGGTACAATGTGTGAAGCCCGTTTCTGGTGTACCCTGCCGTGATATTGCTAGAATATTGCTAAAAGCGGCGTAAAACCATACTCACTGACTGACACTGTTAATGGACTCACTGCTGTACAAGAAATCAGTCTTATAGAAACAAAGGAACAGATCTGCAGATACTGTGTATGTGACTGTGTACATTTCCAGGTTGGAATCAAAGTGGCCCCGAGTATCCGCCATCATCTGATGCCACACTTTGATGACTTCCTCGCCACCTTCCATCAGGTCAGTCACAACTGTGTAAATAGCAGAACATGTTTACTGAATTTGGGAAAAGGTGTACACCGGTTAGATGCTTTATTTGTTAAATATTTGACAACTAGCTTGCTATAAACTCTTACCTCCCTATCACATGATTGTAGCCATGTCCTCCTATTGCAGGTACAAGGGGACAGTGTCCAGAACATCCTTGCCATGCAGAAGCTGGAGATGCCGCGGTACCTGATGCTGTTCTCCCCGGCCCTGGACTGGCTGCTCCAGTGCATTGCCAACAAATCTCCCGAGACGGTCCTCACAGAGACTCTCGATAAGTGCAAGAAGCAGTGTAACAGGTGAAACAGTGTGTAGTCATCGTCAGTTGTGGACAAGGTCCAGACAGATAGAGTCCAGAGAGACTAGGCTCCTAATAAACAGGAGTCCAGAGAGACTAGGCTCCTAATAAACAGGAGTCCAGAGAGACTAGGCTCCTAATAAACAGGAGTCCAGAGAGACTAGGCTCCTAATAAACAGGAGTCCAGAGAGACTAGGCTCCTAATAAACAGGAGTCCAGAGAGACTAGGCTCCTAATAAACAGGAGTCCAGAGAGACTAGGCTCCTAATAAACAGGAGTCCAGAGAGACTAGGCTCCTAATAAACAGGAGTCCAGAGAGACTAGGCTCCTAATAAACAGGAGTCCAGAGAGACTCCAAACAGAGCAGCAGCAGCAGCAGCATCATCATCACTATTATTATTGTTGTTGTTGTTGTTGATGTTGTTGTGAGTGTTCTTGTTGTTGTTGTGAGTGTTGGACAAAGGTGTAGAAGAATGAATTATGACTTGTTATTAATGATATAACCCAGTTATATGAATTTGACAGGTAGTGTATATTGTTTGGGTTTATTTCATTTAGACCATTAAATGACTATAGATAACAGACAGATATACTGAATGGGGGGCTTACGTTGAAGAAATTAAAGTTGATGCTGGCGGAAAACTTGTCTAAGTGGAGATCGTTTTCAGTGTTGAGTGAGTCGCCCAATTATTAGTGGAGATCGTTTTCAGTGTTGAGTGAGTCGCCCAATTATTGTGGTCTGTTTGGAAAGTGGGCCATGGTCAGGTTGTGAATAAATGGCTCGACTGTAAGTGAAATATTTAACATTTGACTTCAATATTTTTTGCATTTATGTGTTTTAGGTATAAACATAAAAAGACCATAAGGCAGAGAGTTGGTGAGCCTCCCCCCCTCCCCCCCTCCCCCCCTCCCCCAAGGTGGACAGAGAGGGTCTTTGAGGAAATGGTAGACACTTGAGAAATGCTGTCATGATATGTAATTATTTTGTTGTTGCCACTGACAGCATGCAGTATGAATAGACTTCAGTAAAAGTGTTGTTCTGTGTGCCTGCAGCGCCCTGCTCCTCAACTCCATCATGTCAGCCTTCCAGCCCCAGTACATCGCCCACAGGGCCGTCATGTTCACCGAGATGATCAAGGAGTGCGAGGACACCGGCTTCCCTAAGGTAAGCAGAGAGTTGGCGAGCCCAGTTTTTCCCCCAGGGTAAGCAGAGAGCGTCCTTGAGGAAATGGTAGTGAAGGGCCTTCTTCTGTTCCTGCAATACTTGCAAACCCCTCCAGTTGCTGGAACCTTCACCCAGTGTTTAATGTGTTGTTCTTGTTACGTTCAGGACCAGCTTCACAAGACCCTGGGGCTGTGTCTGGTTGTGGCAGACCCCCCTCCTGACCAGCGACTCACCGTCCTTAATGAGGTCTGGAAGGCTGTTGTCAAACTCAAGAACCCAGCGGTGCGTACTTCTATTCATATTATTTTTAATTATTATACCAAGGAATTCCGTCAACCCTTCCGAGGACATTTTTTGTGTGCGACCTATAACTTGAAAACTTTCTTTTCAAACTTGGTGAACACTTTCTATACCAATAGGAGAGGTACAGTGTGAAGTTGGATTGTGATGTGTGGATTTTCTGAAAGAATTATGATTTTTTGCATGTTTTGCTTCTTCAACATGTGTGCGACCTATAACTTGAAAACTACTCCATGGATTCTTTTCCACCTGGGGGTACAGTTTCTATTCCAATAGGAGAGGAGCATGAGCAGTGCACAGTTTGATTTTGATAAGTGGATTTTCTAAGAAAAGATATCACATTTTTCATGTTTTGAACTTAGAAGTTTGTTATTCCCCGACCTAAAAGGGCAAAGCATGCCGATGATGCACCAGTGCATCTTTGAATCATGCCATTACTATGGTATTATATTGTGCTTTGTAAGAGAAACCGGTGGGAAAATATGGACACTTCCTGACAGCATACCAATGCGACATGTGCGTCAGTGTGGGGCAGGACCGAAGCTCGAGAAACCCTTTGATTCAGTGCATGTCAGCACATATCCCTATCCGAACTGGCTTGCATGGTAGAGCTGCATGATGTAAAGTACTGTAGCAAGCAGTGTTGTTTAAACCTTTCTCACTCACTCATGTCTGCTTCCACTGTACGTCATGCAGTTCTCCATTTGAAGTACATAATATCAGTGTTTGACTGCATGTGTTCAAGTTTTTAATTAATACTGCAATTAATTTTCAGGAGTACATTGGCAGTGCTGATATTTGGATTGAGTATGTTGTGAAACACTTTGGGGTAAGTTTATATCGTATTACAGTTTAGAAATGTTGACATCTGTTACCATGGTTACTGCAAGGTTGGTGTTACTTTCTGAAAAATGCTATTTTTGTGCAGCAGTTGTGAGCTGAAAAATATTTTAATATTCTTTTTCATAAGGAAAAAAAATAACTAAAGAAATATTGCAGAACCACTCTTACACACCAACACAATTCCCCTTCATGAATGGTAAAAAACATTCTTGTGATAAATGGAACCTAAAACTGAATGTAACGAATGAACACACAATGCCATTTTCGGACATTGGAGCCGTGCCAATTTACACTTGTCAGAGGGGTACACAAAGTATGTGATCTACACTACCAGTTGTCAGACTTTCATTTTTGTGGAAGCTTCGGCGGCTGAGTGGGTTAAAAAACACTGACATGGTGTGCTGCGATTAGGTGCCTCACTCTGGCAGCGTGGGTTCAAATCCCGGATGGGTCTCAACGCCCCAAAATACGAGAATCTGTACTTTACTAAGAAAGTGTTTTCCCAAATATAACATTTCTTACATTGCACATAACGAAGCCATGACCTTGTAGAAAATTAGTAAAATTGTTTAGTACAACTTTTGCTAAATCTATAAAGCTATCCCAATGTTGTACAGAAGCGAGAGGTTAACACCATCCTGGCGGACATCATCAAACACATGACACCAGACCGGGTCTTCGAGGACTTCTACCCCCAGATGTTGTCGGTGGTCTCCAAGATACTGGCACATCAACACAACTTCACAGCACTCTTCTCTCTGGTAAGTCGGTACCATCATTTTCTCATTATCTTGGAAGGGGCACGGGTGGCCCAGTCGTCTAAGGCGCCGCGATTCGCTGTGCAGAGTTGCGTCCCTTGTACACGCCAGAAACCTATGATTGTGGGTTCGAATCCCGGTTCGCCCTGATTATGTTTCTAGGTTTGTCAGCACCATACCCGTGCTCGTGGGTTTCACCGAAGTGGTAAACGTCTGAGACCTGCATCACTTGGGGCTTTCCTCCCACATTAAGCTGACACGCCGTGATATAACTGGAATACTGTTAAAAGCGGCGTTAAACCCAACTCACTCACTCACTCATTATCTTGGACTGTGTGTCTTTACCGTATTCGACATAATAAGCGCTCTCAAAATTAGAAATAGGGGGCTCTTATTAGAATATTATTTTGGTGAAAAACAATAGAGTTGAAAGACCGTAAATTTTGTGGTTTTTGCTGACAGCCTGAAATGTTTATATACGACAGATATATTTTTCCAGAATTTAATTTCCCATGATTAAGGATGCATATAACACACATATTATACACGAATAAATAAGTCTTGTGTACATTGATCAATTGGAAGGGGTGCTAATTGGGATTGTTCACTAGCCAATATATTAGCAAATATCACCGTGGGCGCTTATTAGAGCGGGGCGCTTATTACGTCAAATACGGTATATATATTCTGTGTGTTGCTGCCTAGAGGTACAAGGCAAGTCCTCCAAGGGTATTCCGGGTTGGGCTTCATCCCCAGTAACCATTGCTGGTCATAATGGGCCGCGTGGTCAGACTCGTTGACTTGGTTTATATATATACGTCACTGGATTCTGATGACGTGGATCGTTGCTCACTGTATCAACCACTGGTTTATAGGCCTCCATGATGTAGCTGGAATATTGCTCAGTGTATCAACCACTGGTTTATAGGCCTCCATGATATAGCTGGAATATTGCTCAGTGTATCAACCACTGGTTTATAGGCCTCCATGATATAGCTGGAATATTGCTCACTGTATCAACCACTGGTTTATAGGCCTCCATGATATAACTGGAATATTGCTCACTGTATCAACCACTGGTTTATAGGCCTCCATGATATAACTGGAATATTGCTCAGTGTATCAACCACTGGTTTATAGGCCTCCATGATATAGCTGGAATATTGCTCAGTGTATCAACCACTGGTTTATAGGCCTCCATGATATAGCTAGAATATTGCTCAGTGTATCAACCACTGGTTTATAGGCCTCCATGATATAGCTAGAATATTGCTCAATGTATCAACCACTGGTTTATAGGCCTCCGTGATATAGCTGGAATATTGCTCAGTGCATCAACCACTGGTTTATAGGCATCCATGATATAACTGGAATATTGCTCAGTGTATCAACCACTGGTTTATAGGCCTCCATGATATAGCTGGAATATTGCTCACTGTATCAACCACTGGTTTATAGGCCTCCATGATATAACTGGAATATTGCTCAGTGTATCAACCAATGGTTTATAGGCCTCCATGATATAACTGGAATATTGCTCAGTGTATCAACCACTGGTTTATAGGCCTCCATGATATAGCTGGAATATTGCTCAGTGTATCAACCGCTGGTTTATAGGCCTCCATGATATAACTGGAATACTGCTCACTGTATCAACCACTGGTTTATAGGCCTCCATGATATAGCTGGAATATTGCTCACTGTATCAACCACTGGTTTATAGGCCTCCATGATATAGCTGGAATATTGCTCACTGTATCAACCACTGGTTTATAGGCCTCTATGATATAACTGGAATATTGCTCACTGTATCAACCAATTGTTTATAGGCCTCCATGATATAACTGGAATATTGCTCACTGTATCAACCACTGGTTTATAGGCCTCCATGATATAGCTGGAATATTGCTCACTGTATCAACCACTGGTTTATAGGCCTCCATGATATAACTGGAATATTGCTCACTGTATCAACCACTGGTTTATAGGCCTCCATGATATAACTGGAATATTGCTCAGTGTATCAACCACTGGTTTATAGGCCTCCATGATATAGCTGGAATATTGCTCACTGTATCAACCACTGGTTTATAGGCCTCCATGATATAACTGGAATATTGCTCAGTGTCACCAGCCACGCTTGTTATTTTTATCCTTCTAAGGATTTACAAGTTTTGGCCCAGCAAATTGTGTGGACGCATGGATCGTTTCTGGGACCAACCACTGCATTACCTAACACAGATTTGATTAATTACCATCACACTCTGTAATCACTGTAGACCTATGTAACATGGTCCAGTAAAAATGTTTGTACTCCTGTGATGAACCAGGTTAGAATTGGTCTTGAGCAGACCGCTGTCATGTATCTGGAATATTGCTGAGTGCAGCTTAAACAACAAACAAACAAGTGTGTGTTGTACAGTGTATTTACTTCTGTCTTCAGGAGAAGTTCCTCCCCTTCATGGACATGTTCCAGAGAGAGAATGTCAAGGTCGATGCGTGTAAGAGTGTGGCCGAGGCATTTGCTAAGTAAGTAGTCCATGTATCATCAAGCTCCTCGCAGCAATAGCCCGTTCGCGGAGTTCTCTATACTATCGCTGCCACCACTCAAAACTCCCCACTGTGATAGGTGGCCCCAACCATGCTTGGAGTTGAACTCGCAACCGAATGACGACTGTGGTGACGCCAAATACACTTACCCCTGCTAAATTACTTTCTTTGTTTGTCAATTTGAATTTCTATTTCATTAAAACTATCATGTCATTGATATAGTAAGAATGTAAGGGAGAAGTTGGTTGATTTTCCGTTCGTGTGCAATCTCGAACCAATCTGATTATACAAACAACAAAGTAAATTCATCTGGAAAACATGTTTCGTCGTAAACCTTTTCAAAATTCACTATGATGGCATTCCCAAAGACATGAACAAAAGTATGAACATTACTACATTTGGGGTTAGAGGCCAAATTTCAAGATTCTTGTAATGGCCGTGCCCACACTGGTGGCAGCGATGTTACCGAGAGTGTAACGAAGGTGTCACGCGCTGGGAAGGACCTTGATGTATCATACACTAAGGGAGACAATCCAGGTACTTCCCGGTTTCATGTTGATCACCTTGAGACTCGCAAAGATAATTTTGGTCAAAAAGTAGTTCCTGCATAAAGTGTTATGTCACTCCAGTGAAAGTAGTTCCTGCATAAAGTGTTATGTCACTCCAGTGAAAGTAGTTCCTGCATAAAGTGTTATGTCACTCCAGTGAAAGTAGTTCCTGCATAAAGTGTTATGTCACTCCAGTGAAAGTAGTTCCTACATAAAGTGTTATGTCACTCTAGTGAAAACAGAATAATTAAGTACACAAATAAATAATAAAGAAACTTACTACCAATTATGAAACAGGACTAACACCTGTAACCAATAACATTGATAATTTGAGTTTCTGATAAGCCAAGGATTGCGTCACAGTCTGATGTATTCAGATCTAGAGTCAAATGAATTTCTAATAAATCAGTTATACTTACAGTGACAGTTTGATGTGGGTTCCCTCTCTGATTATTAACAAGTGCAACAGTAAGTGACCAAATGTGTCCATGTTTCTGATGTATGTCTCACAATGCTATTCCAGGTTTCAGACGGAGCCATTGAATGATCCCATTGTCATAAACGCAATGATGTTCATCTGCAAGACAATGCACGACTCCGTCAAGTAAGAAATAAGTATATATATATATCTGCTCCTCCTGTTTGTCGTTGCTTGGAATCCCAGATTAATCCAAATCAGCACCATGTCTATCTTGTTGGTTTCAACAAACTGAAAACATCCATGAGATGAGTCATTTGATTTTTGTTTGTTTGTTTGTTTTGTTGTTTAACGCCACACTCAGCAATATTCCAGCTTTATGACGGCGGTCTGTAAATAATCGAGTCTGGACCAGACAATCCAGTGATTGACATCATGAGCATCGATCCATGTAACTGGGATACTATGACATGCATCAACCAAGTCAGCGATCCTGACCACCTGATCCCATTAGTTGCCTCTTACGACAAGCATAGTTGACTTTTACAGCTAGCATGGGTTGCTGAAGACCTATTCTACCCCGGATCTTCACGAGTCATGAGTCATTTGTGGCTTTCCTCCACATACAACAGAAGTAATAGTTACTTTAATGTTGTATGATTGTTGAAGTTTTAACTTTTTTTTGGCTTATCTATCAAACATAGAGTGGTCGGGCAGATACAAATAAACTAAAGCTATTTGCTATAAGCAGAAAAATAGTGTCACTTTAATGCCTGTCTTTTCACATCTTAGAGTGAATGCTCAAGAAATAAATCATCAACTGATGTGAAAAGCAGCATTATCAAGCCATGCATTGATCTGTTTCAGTGCCCTGACTCTGGAGGATGAGAAGAGAGTGATAAGCAACCTCATCTGTTGTTTCATCCGTCGCATCTCCTTCAACCGGGACTTCGAACAACAACTCAGTTTCTTTGTGGAGGCGCGGGCATCCTTCAGCAACCTTGACCCTGTTCTGGTGCAGCTTGTGCAGGTACGTAGAACACAGTGGGTATGTAGTTCACAGTGGGTACGTAGAACACAGAGGGTACGTAGTCCACAGTGGGTACATAGAACACAGCAGGTACGTAGTTCACAGTGGGTATGTAGAACACAGCAGGTACGCAGTTCATAGTGGGTACGTAGTCCACAGTGGGTACGTAGAACACAGTGGGTACGTAGAACACAGCAGGTACGTAGAACACAGTGGGTACGTAGAACACAGCAGGTACGTAGAATGCAGTGGGTACATAGAACACAGCAAGTACGTAGAACACAGTGGGTATGTAGAACACAGCAGGTACGTAGAACGCAGTGGGTACGTAGAACACAGCAAGTACGCAGAACACAGCAGGTTCATAGAACACAGCAGATGTTCATCCTGAAGCTAATCTCCATCTTTTACCTGCCTAGTACCTAGTTATGGACTAAAACATCTCCTGTGTCCTATCCTGCCCGATGGTATGGCTGCTTTCAGTTGATGGTGCATTATAAATACAAGACCCAAATGACATGGTTGGATCTGGTGTGTCACTAAACTGCATACATATACTTGTTAAGTGGCAAATCAAAGGATTGAGCTAAAAGAATCTACTTTTCTGGTTTACCACTTATCTGACTAGGATCTTAAGAGGGTGATGGGTGGGTGGAATTAAATTTTTAGAAATTTATCCCAACTATGTGTGGAGGGGTCATGAAATATGACACTGTTCTATTTTTTCAAATAAAAAAAATCATCACTTTGAACACTATTCCAATAAATTTTGTATAAAAGTGTGTGTATAATGAGAGGAGTAGGAGGGTCGTGAAAAAGAAATGTTACCTGTATTACGGGGAGAATGAAAATTTTTTACATACAATGGGGTGTGTCAGCTATAGGTGATACAGTCCTAAGCTTGTCATGGCACATTGGATGTTGGTCCATCTGTCAGTCTCTGAAACTACAAGATCAATAAAGATGAAACCAGAGACCATACAGCGGTATATGGTCTCTGATGAAACGTTGCATGAATGATCCCAGCTATACTGTTTCCAACACTACAGAAGTTGTTCTCCATGAAAAGTGCCATGTCTTCATGTTCTCACAACTTCTAAATGCCAGTCAAAGACTTGACCTTCACTACTGTCCATTCCAACAGAGTGTCAACAGCCTGTCTGTGGAAACAAGAAAGGTAGTGAAAGGCCACCACTCACGCAAGACTGCAGCTTTTGTTCGGGTGAGTCAATGAACAACATTAATTAAAGAACTTATATAAAAGAGGCCCTATGATCTACTCCCAGGTTCAGTCCAGATGTTGCAGCTTGGGCCTTGAGATAGGGTTGGGACGAGTCCAAATTTACTACCCAGGTACCAGACCCCCTATTACCCCGACCCTACTTGGGTACCCACTGTAGGTATCAAGAGTTAGGAACAAAATGTCTGATTGGGAATTGTTTTAACGCAGCCCTGGCTAAGACTATTTACATACATGTATCAAGCAATCAGATCATGTGTGCACTGAAGTTGACTGAAGCTTTAACTTTGCTCAAACATATACAAGTCAAATGGAATGTGTGCATCATCTAAAGAAATGTGAACATTAGCAACTTTTAGTGTAACCTTTGAGCTATAGGGAGTTTTTGTCATTAAACAATACATCATGTGACTAACCACGGTCCGGGTAGTACTGTGGGTACCCGGGCCCTACTCAGTACCACCCGACCCAGGTACCCGAGTTACCCATGCCCTAACGTCAGACATCACCTCTGTGTGATTAGGGTTATCATTACCTGGTGGATCCACATTGTACATTTTACAAATATTGGTATTGAATGAAATGAAGCACATTTTACAAGAATACCAATTGATTGAACATAATAACACTTTAACTGCGCCTTGGACTTTAGACAAGTCATTACAAGACTGCATGCATATGAACATATGAGTGCCCTATTTGTTACATCTGTGTGGAGGGGGTACACATAATGCACGACATGTTTTTTCCCCAATGCAAAGACATAGCCATGTGCACGTAACACCAGAAATACTGTGTCAACAAGTCGATACTGAAGTACATGTACCTTAATCCTTTTTTTTTACACTATCTGGTTATAAAAAAGTGCCTGGACTTTGTGGTTGTAATCTATTTTATTAGTTTTAGTCAAAATTTCATTCAGTATTATTTACATTAATTTCACTGAAATCATGTGTGAACTAATCGGCAGATCACACCAACAGTAACCGTGATTAGATAAACTTTGCTATTGACGCCTTGGTACAACATACGATGAAAAGATACATGTTCTTGAACATTTTAGGCGTGTTCAGCGTACAGCTTCATCACGATACCATCGCTTCAGTCCGTCGTGTCCCAGCTGCAGCTGTACCTTGTGTCTGGCCAGGTGGCGCTGCTCAACCAGTGCTTCTCCCAGGGTAGGTCTCTCTCAGACAGTGACTGCACAACCAATGCGTCTCCCAGGGTAGGTGTATCACAGACAGTGACTGCTCAACCAGTGCTTCTCCCAGGGTAGGTCTCTCTCTGACAGTGACTGCTCAACCAGTGCTTCTCCCAGGGTAGGTCTCTCTCAGACAGTGGCTGCACAACCAGTGCTTCTCCCAGGGTAGGTGTTTCACAGACAGTGACTGCTCAACCAGTGCTTCTCCCAGGGTAGGTCTCTCTCTGACAGTGACTGCTCAACCAGTGCTTCTCCCAGGGTAGGTGTATCACAGACAGTGGCTGCTCAACCAGTGCTTCTCCCAGGGTAGGTCTCTCTCTGACAGTGACTGCTCAACCAGTGCTTCTCCCAGGGTAGGTCTCTCACAGACAGTGACTGCATAACCAGTGCTTCTCCCAGGGTAGGTGTGTCACAGACAGTGACTGCAGAACCAGTGCTTCTCCCAGGGTTGGTCTCTCTCAGTAGCTATGGTACTATGGTACTACTTGGTACATGGTACATGGTAGGGGTTGGACGGTACACTAACAGTGCGATCCGATACGTATCACGATACCTTTCTCACAGTCAGATACGTATCGCAATACTTCATGTGCTCTTATCTGTGGTGCTTAAGTCATCAGACATGATTGCCAAAAACCTGACACACTGACGATTTACAGTTGGCAGTGTCAAGTATGGTGCAATGGATGAAAATATTTATGTTTTCACAACTAACTTTCACTACTAATTTGTCTTTGGTATAACATTTATTAAAGCAAACATATAAGGTATGACTTGATATCTTTTGTTTATTGTGTGACTGTGATCAATACTTGTGTCAAGACTGTGGAATGTTGCTCACAATATCAATCACTGGATTGTCTGGTTCAGACTCGATTTTGTACAGGTTGACGTCATATAGCTGAAATATTATTGAGTGCGACAGTGAACAATAAGCATGCACACGCACGCACGCACGCACGCACGCACGCACGCATGCACACACACACACACTTTGGAGAGTCCCATGTAAACAATGAGCATGCGCACTCACGCACACACACACACACACACACATGCACTTTGGAGAGACCCATGTAAGTGCACACACACAACATGCGCACACACTAAATGCGTACACTCCCCTGTCCCTGTACAACTGATTTACAGTCATGTGATACTCCACTGTGTGTTCCAGGAGATGCATTCTTCAAAGCAGCTATATCCCTTATCCCCGATGTTCCTCGTATCCTGGAGACTGAAGGGAAGAAGTCCTCGGAACCCTTCTTACTGGACTTCATATACAACTTCGTGTCCACCCTGCTTGTCACACCGGTAGGTCCTATGGCTGTTGTCCTAGTAATGTTACTGAAATCCGAGCTTCATCACAGTTTGTTTGACCATGTGTGAAGTTGGGTTGAATTTCTCCTCAGTACCCAGCACTGGTTAAAAGGCAGCTAGGGTGGTCGGGTAGCCTAGTGGGTAACGTATTTGCTCATCACGCCAAAGGCCCGGGTTTGATTCCCCACATGGGTAAAATGTGTGAAGCAAATTTCAGGTGTTCCCCCGCAGTGATCTTGCTCGAATATTGCTAAAATCCGCAGAAAAATATACTCACTCTCTCTCTCTCTCACTCACTCACTCACTCACTCACTCACTCACTCACTCACTCACTCACTCACTCACTCACTCACTCACTCACTCTCTCACTCACTCACTAATGCACCAACATATGCACACACAAATACACAATATCTGGCATTTAATGGAAGTGGAAGATCTGATAACACGCGATAACAAGCAAACGCATTTGCGAGGAAAGTAAACACTGTTATTCAAACAGAAATGTTACGGGTGCTTCTCTCAGGCCACTTCTGGTGTCCCCCGCCTTGATCTTGCTGGTGTAAACTTTACACCGTTTTGAATATTCCAGCAAGATCAGGGCGGGGTGTAAACTTTACACCGTTTTGAATATTCCAGCAAGATCAGGGCGGGGTGTAAACTTTACACCGTTTTGAATATTCCAGCAAGATCAGGGCTGGGTGTAAACTTTACACCGTTTTGAATATTCCAGCAAGATCAGGGCGGGGTGTAAACTTTACACCGTTTTGAATATTCCAGCAAGATCAGGGCGGGGTGTAAACTTTACACTGTTTTGAATATTCCAGCAAGATCAGGGCGGGGTGTAAACTTTACACCGTTTTGAATATTCCAGCGCGATCAGGGCGGGGGACACCAGAAATGGGCAGTCCTGTTTCATAATTTCCTGAAAAGTCATACTCACTCACTGACTCACTTGTTTCAGGACAACCCAGAGGCAGGAGTGATGTATCTGTTACGAGGGCTGCTGAACGTGCTACAGGACTACACCTGGGACAACAGCAGCGACGCCCGAGCCCTCGTGTACACTCGAGTCATCGCCATGTTGTCTGCCAGTTGCCAGGAAAAGTATCTCTACCATATTGACAAAGGTAAGCACAACTACAGAGCATTGGGACATCTGTATCAGTTCGTCAGTAGGATGATTATATATAAACAGAAACTATTCTCAAATTACAAAGGGGTGGTTGGGTAGATTCGTGGCTAAAGCGTTCGTTCATCACGGCGAAGACCCGGGTTTGATTCCCCACATGCGTACAATGTGTGAAGTTCATTTCTGGTGTCCCCTGACGTGATATTGCGGAATATTGCTCAAAGCGGCGTAAAACCAAACTTACTCCCTTACTTAAATTACAAATTTAACCGAATCAATAAGATTTCACCCAGAACGCTACTGTCCAGACTGGGGCCGTCGGGTAGTCTAGTGGTTAAAGCGTTCGCTCATCACGCTGAAGTCCAGGGTTCAGTTCCCGACATGGGTACAATGTGTGAAGCCTATTTCTGGTGTCCCCTCCGTGATATTGCTGGAGTATTGCTAAAAGCGGCGTATAACCATACTCACTCACTGTCCAGATTATCTGGGTTTTACTATTCTTCCACAAGTAATTTGACCAGTTTTCATTGAATTTCTCAGAGCCAAGATTCTTAGTGATGAAAAATGTTTTATCAAACCATAGGTTGAGTTTGTATATGTCAATATAAAAGATAGTGTCCTATTGCAAAAATGTGCTGATACCTGACCACAAATATGTATCTTTTGTAGTTGTGTAATTTTCAAATCTTTTTTCCAGCTTATCAGAGTCTGTATTTTATAGAAAAGATGTACAGGCTACAAGATATACAGGCTATAAGATGTACAGGCTATAAGATATACAGGTTATAAGATGTACAGGCTATAAGATGTACAGGCTCTAAGATGTACAGGCTCTAAGATGTACAGGCTATAAGATGTACAGGCTCTAAGATGTACAGGCTCTAAGATATACAGGCTATAAGATGTACAGGCTATAAGATATACAGGCTATAAGATATCCAGAGAACACTCGTGGAATGTATGTACATGTCACTCCAAGAACTACGTTCCTTGTTCCAGTTGATTCCAATGATGCACTGTATGGATCGGACCCCAAGTTTGTGATGGAGGTGGAGAAAATGTGCAGCATGCTGGTGGAACAGGTCCTCAACCACCTGAAAACTCTCTCAAGCCCAGAGGTGAGTCAGATACAGCCCACAGTCTTACTTAAGTGAGTGGGTGAGTGAGTACTATTTTACCCCGCAATATCACTGCAGGGGAGCACCAGAAATGGGCTTCACACATTGTACCCATGGTGGGAATCGAACCCGGGTCTTCGGTGTGACAAACAAACACTTCAACCACTAGGCTACCCACTGCCCCCAATCTTGCTTAAGTTTCACTTATGTTTTCAGTTGAACCTTCCATGGAAGTTTTACAACTTTTTGGAGAACTTCTGATTTCTTGCATTAGTGACGGTGTAAGAATCTACATGCAATAAATCAGAAGTTGTTATCCATGAAGTTGTATGACTTAAGGAAGGTTGAACTGAAAACATAAGTTGTACGTTTTCTCATTTACTCACCAACTTATAGAATGCCAATCAAACTGTTCCATAGAAGTCAGTGTGGGCTAAGTGATTACCACCAGCCTTTGTATTGAAGCTTGAATGTTCCTCTGGTTTCAGAGTGCCAAACGTCAGAGCGCAGTGGCCTTGGACTTGGTGAATGTAATCCTTGCACAGGGTGACATAAGTAAGCCGAATCTGGCCACTCTTGTCATCAATCTGTGGACTCTGGCACAGAAACATGGCCAGGTGGACACCAAACTCAGGGTGAGTACTTGGGGGAAGGGATCTGTGGCAGTTGAAAACAGAGCTTCTTTCCAACACAGAAACATCTGACAACCTTAACATCAAGAGGCAGCACTCACAGTAGCGGCAGCTAAGTCTGTAGTAGCTGGTGTAAGTCTGTGGCAGCTGGTGTAAGTCTGTAGTAGCTGGTGTAAGTCTGTGGCAGCTGGTGTAAGTCTGTAGTAGCTGGTGTAAGTCTGTGGCAGCTGGTGTAAGTCTGTAGTAGCTGGTGTAAGTCTGGAGGCTGATGTAAGTCTATGGTAGCTGGTGTAAGTCTGGCAGCTGGTGTAAGTCTGTGGCAGCTGGTGTAAGTCTGGAGGCTGATGTAAGTCTATGGCAGCTGCTGTAAGTCTGTGGTAGCTGCTGTAAGTCTGTAGTAGCTGCTGTAAGTCTGTGGCAGCTGGTGTAAGTCTGGCAGCTGGTGTAAGTCTGTGGCAGCTGGTGTAAGTCTGGAGGCTGATGTAAGTCTGTGGCAGCTGGTGTAAGTCTGTAGTAGCTGGTGTAAGTCTGGAGGCTGATGTAAGTCTGTGGCAGCTGCTGTAAGTCTGTAGTAGCTGGTGTAAGTCTGTGGCAGCTGGTGTAAGTCTGGAGGCTGATGTAAGTCTGTGGCAGCTGGTGCAAGTCTGTAAGTCTGTGGCAGCTGGTGCAAGTCTGTAAGTGTGACAGCTGGTGTAAGTCTGTGCCAGTTATGGCTATTCTGAATGAGAGTTTGGCAGTGAGTTGACCTCATATGTTAGGCCACCAGAGTTAGTCCCCTATACACAAGGATAAGAATGGATATTTCCTTTTCAGCTGAAACTTCCTTTGCAATGTTTGGGGAAAGCCATGAGATTTTAACAAATTTGTGGTCACTAAAATTCGCGGATCCGCAGAAGATTCTCACCCCTGTATAGTTCCTGTTACCAGTAAATTCTAATTTGATTGGATGGATATTATTAGCATTGTATCATTTGAGTAGACTCAAATCAAAGCTTTTGGCCTGGTTATTATCGTAATACGGTGGTGACTTGATATAGTGGATAATGGAAGATGCACAATTGTGTTTCAGAACCGCGTCCTGATCTATGTGAAGAGGAGAGCAGCAAGTGGGAAAGTGGAAGGTTTCCAAGAGATATACAGCCAACTCTCATGAGCCAGTGTTGGCCGTTCCTACACATGCAGTGTTCAAAGCATTAGCACAGAATACATTGAAAACTTGAGGTAATTTGTCAGCTTCATGTGCAATCCTTTTGGTTTTAATCAGCATTCAACGTAGGGAAGAAAACAATGAAGGAATGATGAACAATTTGAGTAGACAAATTAATCACCATGTTATGATATTAGCAAGGTCTTTACATGTTTCTTACATGTGTGTATATGGCTAAATATATATGTGTATCATGATCACCATGCTGCTGTTAGAACTTGACAGCTAAATGATGATGTGCCCCCAAGTCTGTTCCAGTGCAATGTGTTACGCTGTAAATAAAGATATTCCGCACATACCTCCACGGCTGTTTGTTACTGAAGTGCCAACACACTGGTCATATTGGTCAGTATACTTCAATTCTCATGTTTTCTCATTCAATGTTATCTATCATATTAGTACTCCTGTCCAAATCACTGCACAGATGTGTCACATACCCAACTACACATAAGATCTGTAGGATGACCCAGTACCAGGCTTTAATTCTCTTGTTTAAACAGATTTTAAAAATTATGCAATAGATTCTTGCTCTGTGCCCAAAACTTTTGAGACACTAACCCAAAAATGTCTCTTAGCATAATTTTCATCAGAATTGAGTAATATTAATTTATATGGACTACTTTTAGCTGAGCTTACTAGACCTGATGGTCCAATCGTCCGAGGCACTGCCATTCGCTGTGCAGAGTTGCATCCCTTAGGTACGCCAGAAACCAATGATTGTGGGTTCAAATCCCTGTTCACCCCTATTGTTTCTAGGTTTATCAGCACCATACCCGTGCTTGTGGGTTTCACCAAAATGGTAAACAAGTCCTGCATCACTTCGGGCTTTCCTCCAACATTTAGCCGACACGCCGTAATATAACAGCAATACTGTTCTTTGTGGCATTAAACACAACTCACTAGACATAACAGAATTTTACTAGACTTAGACTAGAAGATTCACTACAAATACTGAAGCAGCCAACATCAATATCTCACCTTCGTATTGAACACTGTGTTAAGGTAAGCAAACCACACAACAGGTAAAATGCCTTGACATTCATTAATCAAGAACAATTAACATTGAAATATATTTATTCATTTGTCAATATTTACATACAAAATGTGATGCTACATCTGTCTGGTTAAGTTAGTCTTCAACAAAAGTACAAACAAGTCAGCTGTCCAGTATTTGATTTCTAATAACAATCACACTCTTTAACTGAGGTCTAAGACATAAAACGTCTGAGGTTTGTTCACATCTCATATTATGACATGAGAGCACTTGCAGCCAGAGGGCCAGTGAGAGACGATGTCCCCACTGCCTTCCTATCACACATACACAGGTATTCCTGAATTGTCTCTAGAGGATCTAAGGATCACTCATTCACAGATATTCCAACAACAGGAGGATCACTTCATCTCAGCCATTCTGTTGAGGGCACTTCCTGCACGGAACCACAGAATCTGGCCGTCATTCATTGTGTGTGCTAGTTCAATCTTGTCAACAGATCCATCTTTGTGCTTGATTTCACATGCAACATTCTGAAAAGGAAAGCATCAACATATTTAAAAAGCAGCATAATAAAGAACCAGATTAATTACATAAATTTTGCTTACACTTCTTAACATTACTGAAAAGGCAGAATTAACATTACTCGAAAGGAATGACAAGAAAACGATTTTGGCAGTACACGTCGAAACACACTGAATGAGATTTGAACCTGAACCCAACATTGTTGTATCTGATTATCTCATGCATAAATACCCAGAAGAAGTTAATTTGAATGAGTTTTCAAAGAGTGTCTGTATACTGTAAGTAAATAGTTTGTTGGCATTACTTGAAGATGTCAACAGGTTTTGTAATTCATTTTTGCACTTATGAACCACTGAGGCAAACACACAGCACATACAGTGCAACAAGACAAATATATCCAACTGTTGTAACATACCTGTCCTGGTTTAAGGTTCTGTAGTCCAAGGAGAGAGATTCTACTATCTGGCTTGATCTTATCATAATCACTGGGGTTGGAGAATGTTAGCGGCAGCATGCCCTGTTTCTTCAGGTTGGTCTCTGTGAGCAAAACAAGGGAATGAAATCCAGGACTCATTTACAGAGAAAGTAAGCACTAAGCAAAGTAGCACTAAGGCAACTTAATTTTCATGCTTTTCAAATACTGCTGTCTATAATATGACCTGCCTATTATGTGACACCTCTGTAGAAACCAACAAGGTCAATGGTAATTTATAGACCCTGTCTGGACAATGCGATCCGGACTGATGCACATCATCACAGCTTACAGAACCCCGGCCATTGTAAATGTTTCAATAAAAAATATCAACATAAAAAAATTATGGATGTCTGTTTTTTCCACGATTTGATTTTCACTGTTTAGGTATGAAATAATAGGTCACGTGTGCAACAGATCAGGGACATCTTATGTTGGGGGAAAAAAAATTGTTTTGTTCTTGGTTATAGACTTAACCAAAGCATAGGCACAAACACTATAAACATTGTGCGCTAAATGTCTAGGCAAAATATAATATCATTTATGACTTCTTGACCAGTAACTACTGACAGCGAAGAGTATTCTCATTAACTGGGGTCAAGTTTCAAAATACAATTAAAGTTTTAAGATTCAGTTAAACTGCATCAACTTCAACCATAAAAATTATATATCACGTCATCCGTAATTCAAGAAATGTAGAGTGAGTCAGTGAGTTTGGTTTTACGCCGCTTTTAGCAATATTCCAGCAATATCACGACGGGGGACACCAGGAATGGGCTTCACACATTGTACCAATGTCGGGAATCGAACCCGGGTCTTCAGCATGAGGGGCGAACGCTTTAACCACTAGGCTACCCGACCGCCCCCAAGAAATGTAGAGAGCCAATATTAGATCAAAGAGCACAGGAAAATTCTGCTGGGACTCCCAGGTAGTAAAGCTGAATAAACTGTCATGCTATTCAACCATAAGCACATGCCATACCATGAATCCTGGCAAAGCTCTTGACAATGATTGCTCTCCCACCCAGATGCCTGGGTTCCAGGGCTGCATGCTCTCGGCTGCTGCCTTCACCATAGTTCTCGTCTCCAACTACGACCCACGGAACCTTCTGAGCCTGCAATAATGTGAACACTCATAGATCATATCTGTCAAGTACATCGGTTCAGCCAAACTATCACACACCATGCATCATACCACTCCATCGAATATGTAGGTTTAGGACACAGTCTGAGATTATTTCTGAATATGCTTTTGAAAACAAATTAGACTATACCTTGTAATAACGAGCTGTTTCTGGCACACTACCAAATTCTCCTGTCAACTGATTCCGTACTTTGTTGATTTCACCATTCTCTGAGTTGACAGCTCTGAAACAGGAGCAGATATTGGATATACGAGGGCACATGAAGACGCTCACCTGAATACTCACAGAAAGAGTAAAGGTGAGTTAGTGAGTTTGGTTTAACAAAAGTATTCCAGCTGTATCAGGGCGCGTCGGAGGAAAGCCATAAATAATTCAAATCTCAGACTTTTACCACTTTTGGTAAAACCCAGGACCATGGGTATGGAGCTGACAAACCTAGACACATAATCAAGGAGAACCGGGATTTCAACCCACAACCTTAAGTTTTCTGGCATAACCAAGGAATGTAACTCCGAACAGCAAATTGCAGCGCCTTAGATTACTGGGCCCCCTAGGCCTCCTGATCCCCCAAACGAGTGAAGGAGACGCCAAAGGAGTAAATAGTCCACTAGGAACCTACCCAATGAGCAAGTTGTTTGAGATGTTGTCGAGGTGGCCGCGGTACTTGAGCCACTGTCCAGCTGCACTGATGTGATCTGTAGTGCACTTGCCCTTCGCCTAAACATGGGACAAATCTTGTCAACACACAGCAGACAGGGAGGAATATAGCCAGTTTATAGTGTATTGCAACATTTATGGATATTCAGTAACTACACATAGGGGACTTTTAAAAAACAATTGAAACATTGTAAAGAATCTAATCCATCTTTCTCAGGTGACAAGACAGAAAAATGGAGTCAAAGATCATTAGTTCGCTTGAACCTTTTTTTGGTTTGTTTGTTGTTAAACACCGCACTCAGCAATATTCCAGCTATGTGACGGTGGTCTGTAAATAATCGAGTCTGGACCAGACAATCCAGTGATGTTAGTCGCATCTTACAACAAGCATAGACACCTTTTACAGCAAGCATGGGTTGCTGAAGACCTATTCTACCCTGGATCATCATGTGTCTCGCTTGAGCTGACCAACTATAGAAAGTCATTACTGCAGTGCATTAAGTGTCTCGAATGTTGTTCACCTTGATGAGAACAGGCATGTCTAGGATGTCCTTGCCGTTCCACTTGTCAAAACCAGCCAGCAACTGTAGACGTTGGCTGTCGGGTGACACGTTCACCTGGAGGCGGTTGCCATCACTTGGGGGGGCCTGGTATGTGTCCTGGCCGGGATCAAACCCTTTAGCGGGCAGTTCATCACCATAGGGACTCTCAAGCTTGAACTTCTTACCTGAGAAATCAGAGGAAATGGCCATACAAGAATATGTTATAAGACAGTTAACCTTACAGCATGCAAACCTTACATTGATTACACTCTCCTCATGGGGTTGAGTAGCCTAGTGGTTAAAGCGTTGACTTGTCACACCGATGACCCGGGTTCGATTCCCTACATGAGAACAATGTATGCATTTATGGTGTCCCCCAACCATATTGCTGAAATATTGCTAAAAGCAGCGTAAAACCATACTCAATCACTCCTAATGCACAAACATTTCAAAACTGACTGAAGGTTTGAGGTGACAAACAAGCAAATTAAACAATATTGTGAGTAGACCCAGATCAAAACTATGCATTTTTACACAAATCTTGTATTGTTGCCAATATTATACCATGGTGGGAGCAGAAAATCTTGAGCACGATGAAACATTAATCACTAGGCTATCTCACTAAACAGAAAATGTCATTTGTTCCAAACTGGTGTAACCAGTGTACACTGAAGTAAGGAAGAGAACTGGATGTCAACTTCTTTACTATTAGGAACAATGTTTTGGAGTATATACTCATTCCTTCATCAGGTGAATAAATGCTTTGAAGCAGAGAACATACATGTAGGTGTAAGAACAACAAAAAAAGTAATGAGATAAGAAAAGTTATCCATAATTGTTTTTCCTTAAGTGTATCACTTCTTAATTGGATTCAAAGACTCTTTCATGTAAGTGTTGATCAACAAGACGACAGGTTTACTCACCATCAGCTCCAGTGAGCTCATCTGTAAGAGGGTTGAAGCCGAGGT